ACCCGCAAATCCCACTCCTGGCTGGCCCCTCCCATCCCACTACTCCTCTCCCAGAAGTCCCCACGCGGCCCGTTTTGGATGCAGGAAAGTGCCGGGTGCGCGTGGAGGCTCGGGGAGGGTGAAAAACGGGCCTACTGGAAGTTCGGGAAGGCCGGAAACGGGCCGGCCTCCAGAGGGCCTCCGGAGCCCGGGGAGGCCATTTTCGCCTTCCCAGAGGCTCAAGAAAAGCCTCCGGAGCCCGGGGAGGGTGAAAAGGCCACGCCCACCATGGCCACGCCCACCCAGCAACCGGACAGAAAACCCCTTGCTAAAATTTTTGAAGCCCACCTGTGACAAGAAGACCCTCCAAGCCCCCTTCCAACCCTCTGATTCTATGAGTTTTTGAAATTAGGCTGAAGGGTTGCAGCCCAGTCTTGCCAATAAAAAGGTTTGTTCAGTTAGGAATTAAAAAAAACAACACCAAAACCTTGAGGACTAGCTACCTGATCATTCGCTTCCACTTTGTCAGCAAGAGTCTGCTCTGTGCTGCAATAGGACTGAATATGCAACTTGCAAAGCATGTTTGGCTACCTGGGACTTGACCTGTTTGAGTGCATCAAGTAGTATCTTAGAAATAGCAAGGCCCACTTTGCCAGTACTGGTAGTCCTCGGTTTACAACAGTTCATTTAGTGACCGTTCCAAGTTACGACGGCCCCGCAAGAAGTGACTTAGGAGTGTTTCTCACTCTTTAACGACCTGTGTAAACATCCCCGTGATCAAAATTCAGATGCTTGGCAACTGATTCATACTTATGATGGTCGCAGCGTCCCGGGGTCACGTGACGTCCCCTTTTGCGACCTTCCGACATTCCAAGTCAAGGGGGGGGGGAATCCAGATTCACTTAACAACCGTGTTACTCGTTTCACAACTGCAGGGATTAATCAATGTAGAAAGAAACGTCGTAAAACGGGGCAAAATTCACTTAACAACTGTCTCGCTTAACGGCAGACATCTGGGGCTCAATTGTGGTCGTAAATCGAGGATTGTAGTGTTTACAGCCCATTTCTGAGGGGAAGACTGGCATATTTAGTACAAAGTGACAAAGCCAGCTAATAATTCAGTGGGTGAAAATATCTTCCTTTTTTTAAAAAAATTTTTTAATTATTTTTAAACAAACAAAACATAAAAAATCCATCTTCCATAACAATTGCAAACAGCGTGTCGGTCGGTTACAAATCCCTTGTGCTTCGTCCCCATATTCATATTTTACTAATTATCTAATTTCTCATATCATCAACCTGATATATATCTTTGTATCATGATCCTCCTTTATAATTTATCTAACAATGGCATTATCTTTCCAGAAAAAAATATCTTCACATATTATAACATTCATTTTAGATTTCATATTTCATTTCCATGTTTTAGTATCTAGCCATTGATAAATCTTATATCTTAGATAAACAATATTACAATATTACATACCTTGTAATATTGTTTATCTTCCTGTTCTCTAATTTCAAATGTCAATTTACTCATTTCAGCACATTCCATAATTTTCTTAAAATATCTTCCTTTTCATAACTGTGAGGCATTGTTCATTTCCTATGAGAAGGAGAGTCAGTGACCTTCGGTTAATTTTATCTTATCTGGCATGGGAGTTTTTAATCATTTTGGCCTCTTCTCCCAATCGGGGGCCCTCCAGATTAAGCAAATAATTGCCAATTGTCCTTGATTTATGACCACAATTGAGCTCAAACTTTCCCCGCCCAAGCAAGACAGTGAAGCGAATTTTCTCCCTATTTTATATGATTATTTTTTTTTATCACGCTTAAGTGAGTCATTGTAGTTAGCACACACACCCACACCCCGGTTGTTAAGTGAATCCGGCTTCTGCATTGACTTGGCTTGTCAGGAGGTCGCAAAAGGGAATCACGTGATCCTGGGAAAACCGTCATAAGTACATGCCAGTAGCCAAGAGTCTGAATTTTGAATCACGTGACTTTTACTCTTAAAAGCATTTTTTCTACAACTTTAAGAGGTTGCAGAAAAAAATGCTTTTAGAAGCCTCTGACGATCCCAGCTGAGTTGCCTGATCAGCAGAGGCTTTTATTTTATTTTTTTTACTTTTAAAAACATTTTTTCGGCCGAAGAGGTGGTAGAAAAAATGCTTTTAAAAGTAAAAAAAAAAAAAAAAAGCCTCTGATGAGGTGGGCGGGGTAAGCGAGCGGCGATCGGGCCGGGGACGGGTTCGGGGGCGTGGCCAGCCAAGGTTATTACCGGTTCTCCGAACTACTACAAATTTTTACGACCGGTTCTTGTGAACCGGTGCGAACCGGGAGCAACGCACCACTGAGCCGAACCTTATCTGATGCCGTGGGAAGGGTGCTTGTTAGCTATAAAGAAGAGACTGCTTTAAATTTTTTTTTTTTTTTTAAATTTGATTTATATGCCGCCCTTCTCCGGAGACTCAGGGCGGCTTACAATGCGTTAAGCAATAGCCTTCATATTTTTGTATATTTATACAAAGTCAGTTTATTGCCCCCACAACTGGGTCCTCATTTCACCTACTTTAGAAATGATGGAAGGCTGAGTCAACCTTGAGCCTTGGAGAGATTCGAACCTGCAGTAATTGCAGGCATCTGGTCTTAATAACCAGCTTAATAACAGGGTGCCTTAGACCACTGTACTACCAAGGCTCTCCAATTTAAATGGAAAGGACTTAAACTTTAAATCATTTGGCATGGGAGCCTAATTTAGGAGTTCCAAATTTGTCTGAGTAGCAGCAAGTTTTCCAGAAATAATAAAATTTGCAGGAATATTTCTGTAGAGGAGCCCTGGGTGGTCTCCGAGCTTGGGTGTTTCTTTGCAGACGTTTCATGACCCAACTAGGTAACATCATCAGGGCTAGAAGGGAGTGGGGTTTGTGGTGGGGGAGGGGGAGGAGGAGGAGGACTGTGGGGGTCCTTGGTGCTCTCTGAGCTTGGTTGTTTTCCTGCAGACGTTTTGTGACCCATCTAGATAATATCATCAGTGCTAGAAGTGGGGAGGAGGAAAAGAAGAAGAGGAGAAGAAAGAGGAGGAGGAGGAGGGGGTGAGCATTGTGGGGGTCCTTGGTGCTCTCTGAGCTTGCTCGTTTTCTTGCAGACGTTTCATGACCTATTAGGTAACATCATCAGTGCTAGAAGCTGGGGTTTGCAGGAGAGGAGTGTGGGCCTTGAGGAGTAGTGAATCTAGGTAATATCATCAGTGCTAGAAGGGGGGATTAGGATCAGGAAGAGGAAGAGGAGGAGAAAAAAGAGGAGGAGGAGGGGGAGCATTATGTGGTCCTTAAGTGCTTTGCTGGCTGGGGAATTCTGGGAGTTGAAGTCCACCAGGCTTAAAGTTGCCAAGGTTGGAGACCCCTGATTTAGAGTAGAATAGAGTAAGGGAGGGAGAGGAGGAGAGAGAGGAGAGAGGAGAGGAGAAAGAATAGAATAGTATTAAGAATATTAGTATTAAATTAAGAATTAAGAATTAAGTATTAAGGGCGGCTATTGCTTAACGCAATGGCTATTGCTTAACTCAGTGCCTTCCGCCGTGCCCTTAAAACCCACTTTTTTCAGCAAGCCGGGCTGGCTTAAGAAGAAATTTTTAAATTTTACATTTTTTAAATGTTTTAATTGGTTTGTGATTTTTAAATTTTTGGGCCAAATTTATATATATTTTAATTGTTCTTAATATTTGTAGTTTATGTTCTTAATTCTGGCTGTGCACCGCCCTGAGTCCTTAGGGAGAAGGGCGGTATATAAATTGAAAAATAAAATAAAATAAATAAAAATAAAACGCACTGTAAGCCGACCTGAGTCTCTGGAGAAGGGCGGCATATAAATCAAATTTAAAAAAAAAAGATTATTATTATTAATATTTCTATGCCGCCCACTCTCCGAGGACTCTGGGTGGCTTACAACAATTGACAGTATACTAAATATCATATTGCCCTCTAACAATCTGGGTCCTCATTTTACCCACCTCGGAAGGATGGAAGGCTGAGTCAACCTTGAGCTGGTGAGATTTGATCTGCTGATCTGCTGAACTAGCAGTCAGCTGAAGTAACTGCAGTACTGCACCCTAACCACTGCGCCACCTCGGCTCTTCTTAATAGAATTAAGAATAGAATAGAATGGAATAGAATGGGAGGGGAGGGGAGGGGAGGAGAGAAGAGAAAGAGATGGAAGGGACCTTGGAGGTCTTCTAGTCCAACCCCCTGCTTCGGCAGGAAACCTTTAGTGACTGTTTGAAGTTACAACAACCCCAAAAAAAGGGATTTTACGACTGTCCTTCACAATTACGACCGTTTATTATAGCTATCCCCACGGTCACATAATCAAAGTTGGCAACTAACTCGTATTTATGACCGTCACAGCGTCCCGGGGTCATGTGATCCCTTTTGCAACTTTCTGCGAAGCAAAATCAATTGGGGGAAGAAGCCAGATTCACTTAACAGCCCTGTTACTAATTGAACAACCTATGGCAGTCGTAAAATGGGACAAAACCCACTTGTTTCACTTAACAACAGAAATCTTGGGCTCAGTCGTGGTCGTAAATCAAGGACTAACTTGTATCTACGGTCTTAAACTGAGCAGGCGCAGTGTTTCTCAAATCTGGAAACTTTTAAGCCAGGCAACTTCAACTCCCAGAATTCCCCATCCATCCATCCATTCATCCAGCCTATTATATTATAACGTGCGGACCATCTGCAGTACCGCAGAGCACCGCGGGCGGCAGCCGAGAGCAGCTTCTTTGTCTCCTCATCCCGGGGCGCCTGGTTAGATTATCTCGCGAGACTAAATTCCAGGGACGCGAGAGAGGACAAAAAAAAACCGCACAGCGCTAGGGAGAGGGGGCGGGGCTTGCCTAAACCGGAAGAGAGCTTTGCCAGTAGTCGGGCATGGAGCCGGAAGGCGGAAAGACCCGTCTGGAGAAGGGTCACGCGTGGGAGTGGCGTGTCGCTGAACACGGGTGGGAGTGGAAACGTGGGAACGGTCGCTGCAAGCTTTAAATAACAACTGGGGGCTGTTATTTCCTAGCAAGGCAGGCGGAAGTTCAACAGGTGCGGAGCCTCCCTCCCATTTGGATCTACTGCTGGGGAAGGCAGCTGCTCCTGTTGAGTGTCTGCCTGCCGCTTCCCGGATTTTGCAGAGGTAAAGCGAAAGTTGGGTAGGGGGGGATCGACCTGTGGGATTCCTGCCTAATTTGGGGCTTGTGTGGGGGTGGGGGTGTTTAAGTTCTTGCTAAACCTTTTGCAGGGCTGGTCCTTCTTATCCAAGCATTTCCCTGTTGCACAGCTGGCCCTGTTGAATTTCTGTCTGCTGGAGAGAAAAAAAAAAGATTTCTTAGCAAAACGTCTTACGTGAGCTTTCCTGGGGAATGTCTGCCTGCATTTCCCTATTGCACAGCTGGCCCTGTTGAATTGCTGCCTGCTGGCTGGGGAAAAAAAGAGAGATTTCTTAGCAAAACGTCTTACGGTGAGTTTTCCTGGGGAATGTCTGCCTGCATTTCCCTATTGCACAGCTGGCCCTGTTGAATTGCTGCCTGCTGGCTGGGGGAAAAAAAAGAGAGATTTCTTAGCAAAACGTCTTACGGTGAGCTTTCCTGGGGAATGTCTGCCTGCTTTGCTCCAAAAAAGGGGGAGAGAGATGGGCTACCTTGAATTTCTGTGCCATGGTAAAAAAAAGCAAGAATTTGGCTGGGAAAAATAACAGGATTTCAGGATGGGCCGGGACTGGAAGGATGTGGGGCGGAGGAGAGATGGGGTCGATTTTAGAGGACGGTCCAGGCAGCTTTGTGCAGGTTTAAGTGCAAATAATAATAATAATAATAATAATAATAATAATAATAATAATAATAATAATAATAATAATAATAATCTTCATGCAGAGTCAGGAATTCAACAGGGGAAGCTGCCTCTCTCTCTCTCTCTCCCTCTCTCTCTCTCTCTCTCTCTCTCTCTCTCTCTCTCCCTCTCTCTCTCTCTCTCTCTCTCTCTCTCTCTCTCTCTCTCTCTCTCTGTTTTGAAACTGAATAGCTTAACATTAACAGAGTCGGAAGGGGCCTTGTAAGGTCGGCAGTTCGAATCCCTTGTATAGGTCTTCCTGCGTGAGCAGGGGGTTGGACTAGATGACCTCTAAAGCCCCTTCCAACTCTGTTACTGTTAGTCCAACCCCCCTCTGCCCCCCACCCCCAAGCAGGAGACATTACACCATTTCTGACTGATGGCAGCCCAGTCTCTTCTGGAAAGCCTCCAGGGATGAAGCTCCCACAACTTCCGAAGGCAACTTCTGTTCCATGGGTTGATTGTTTCTCACTGTCAGGAAATTCCTCCTTATTTCTAGGTTGAATCTCTCCTTGGTCAGTTTCCATCCATTGTTCCTTGTCTGGCCTTCGGGTGCCTTGGAAAATAGCTCAACCCCCTTCCTCCTCTCTGGGGCAGCCCCCCAAATATTGGAAGATGCTCTCCTGTCTCCCCTGGTCCTTCTCTTCCCTAGATCAGCCATGTCTTCTGTCCATCTATGGTTCATTCAGATGTCTTTCTTTCTTTCTTTCTTTCTTTCTTTCTTTCTTTCTTTCTTTCTTTCTTTCTTTCTTTCTTTCTTTCTTTCTTTCTTCTCTCTCTCTCTCTTCTTTCTTTCCCCCCTTCCACCTTCCTTCCCTCCCTCCCTCCCTCCTTCCTTCCTTCCTTCCTTTTGCTTTGGAAAATAGCTTGACCCCCTTCCTCCTCTCTGGGGCAGCCCCTTCAAATATTGGAAGATGCTCTCCTGTCTCCCCTGGTCCTTCTCTTCCCTAGATAGCCAGGCCCAGTTCCTGCAACCGTTCATCGCATGTTTTAGCCTCCAGTCCCCTCATCATCCTGTTTGCTCTTCTCTGCACTCTTTCTAGAATCTCAACATCCTTTTTTATACTATGGTGACCAAAACTGGATGCAGGACTCTAGGTGTCGCCTTACTAAGGCTTTATAGAGTGGTTTTAATATCTCACTTGATTTTGATTGTATGCTCTGTTAATGCAATTTAGGACTGCATTGGCTTTTTTGGCTGCCGGCCGCACACTGTTAACTCCTATTTAATTGGATTCCAAGATCCCTCTCACAGTTACTGCTTCTTTTAAATTTTAATTTTTTTTTTTTAAATTTTAAATTTCTGGGGTTTTAAATTGAGCCGAATTTATTTAATAATTTTAAATTTTTAATTGATGTTTGTCTTGTGTTTTTAAATAGGCTGTACACCGCCCTGAGTCCTTCGGGAGAAGGGCGGTGTAGAAATAAAATTATACTTATACTTCTAAGCCTGGTTTCCCCCAGTTTATATGTGTGTTTTTGGCTTTTCTTGCCTAAGTGGAAGACTTTACTTTCCTCTACGTTGAATTTCAGTTTGTTAGATAGGGCCCAGGGTTCAAATCTGTCAAGATCCATCTGGATCTTCAGCCTAATATCTAGGGCGTTGGCTATTCATGCCAGCTTAGTATCATCCGCATTCCTGGGCTAGATTCCTGGACTGGATTCACCCAAGACATTAAGCGAGACTAATTTGATTAGAGATTCTCTAATCATGGTTGTCCCGAAGGTGCTTTTTTCAAGAGGCAACTGGACTTTTTGGTTTTTCTGTGAAGACGTTTCCCTTCTCATCCAAGAAGCTTCTTCCGCTCTGACTGGATGGTGAGGAATGGAACCATAAGCTGGAGAACTGAGAATCTCTACAGACTTTTAGCTATACAATTTGGGATCAACCCCCTTTGAATGGTGTGGGGGCAGGAATGGATTTCAGGAGGAAAAAAATGCAGATTACAGGAATCGTTTGCACCACTCAGGTGACCCTGAGGACACAGAGAAACCTCCAAGTGGCCTCAACGACCCTCTAAAACAGCGGTTCTCAACCTGGGGGTCGCGACCCCTTTGGGGGTCGAATGGCCATTTCACAGGGGCCGCCAAAGCCCTCTCTTGCCCCCCCCCTGCCTTCACTCACCCTCACCCTCAGCATCTGTTGGATCGCCCGGTCGCCGTTCGCTTACCCTGCCCACTCCCAATCTTGCTGCCTCCGGAGTCCCAGCTGGTGGCTAGAGGGAAAAAAAACTTTAAATTCTTGCCGCTGGGCTTCAAAGAGGTAAATTCCTGGAGCAGATTTTTTTCCCTCTAGCTATGCTGAAAAGCGAAAGCGAAAGTAAATGGCTGCAACGTGACAAAATGAGGCAGAGAGATTTCTTTTTCTTTTTCCTCACCAAAAAAGGTAGGTGCAAAACTGCAAACAATGGGAAATTTAGGGCAAAAGAGGAGAGTTCCAAGATTTTAAAACACAAAAGAAAAAAAGTTCTATTTAACTAGGGAATTGTAATAATTGAGATACTATTAATTGGTTAAGTTGTGGTTTGGAGGAATATATGGGGGAAATTATTTGGTTTATTCTTATTGGTAAATATAATTAATTGATGTGTAAGAAATTGGATTGCATGGAAATAATTGGAATATTCATGTTCATATTGATTAATATACAAAAAAGATAGTTATATAACTAATTGATTTATATTAAAATGTTGAATTTGTATTAAACAACTGTATTACATAATCAATGTGAGGATGGATATAAAAATAGATGACAATGGGAAGGGGTATAATATAGAATAGAAGGGAAAAATAGAATTTGATTAAGATTAGAGATGAGGATGAAGGGTAATATTGTTTTTTTTTAAAAAAAATAGATGAGGAATAAATATGGTAAAAAGGAAATATAGAAATTGTAAATTTAATTGAAATGACTAAATACTGTGTTGGAAGAAATATCCTTCTGGGTTCTGCTCCAAGTGGGGAAAAAGACACTGGAAACATGGAGACTGCTTGGAAAGATGGTTTAATGGTGGACAGGATCACATGGCTTGATGTGTTGTATTAGTTTCTGTTGCTATTGTGTTAGTTTCTGTTACTATTGTGTTAGTTTCTGTTGCTATTGTGTTGCAAATATCCTTTGACAAAGGATTGACTTTCTGCCTCTGGCCCATTAACAAAGGGTGGGGGGCAGGAAGGTGGGAGCTGCTTTGTCTGTAAAATATGCTTCTCCATTTCTCATCCAGGTAGGGAAATATAATATTCTGCCTTTTTAATATTTCCCAAAATATTTCATTCTTCTAGGAAAGGGGTGGGTGCTAACCTCCTACAACTGTTTAAATTTGTGAACCGCCCAAATACTCTGTTCAAAGAAAATACGTTGTATGTTTGTATGTGTGTTTCTAATTATTGCTATTTATTGCTATTTGTTCTCTTTTATTCTTTAAAGTTTAACAATTCATTCTTTATTTTAATATCTTAATATTTGTTTGGGGTTGGCTTTCTTCCCTTTCATCTTTTTTATTGTACAGCAATCTTTCTCCTCAAACCTACCACCTCTGTCTTTTCTTTCTTTCTTACTTTCTCTTCCCCCCCTCTTCTTTTTCTCCCTACTTCCTCTTTCTCTTTCTCCTCCTCTCTTCCTCCCTCTCTTACCTTCACTCCTCCTCTAATTTCCCTTCCCTTCCTTCATCCCTCTCTATTGCTGTATCCTTTTGTGCATATGGACTACTCAGAGGGCTGAAAAAGTTATTTTTGACTGGTCCTCGCACTTTTGACCAGTCCTCGAACTTACGACTGTCCTCACAATTTACGTATTTGCGCTATCTTGTCACCATGGTGAAGAGAAGCAGTTGTGAAATGAGTGACACGGTTGTTAAGAATGGTACAATGGGCATAAATGATGACCAGTCATAACTGCGAAGACCGGTCAAAAGTGCGAGGACCTGTCAGAAATCACATTTTTCAGCCCTCTGGGTAGTCCTTTTGTGCACAGGGACTACTCAGAGGGCTGAAAAAGTTATTTTTGACTGGTCCTCGCACTTTTGACCAGTCCTCGAATTTACGACTGTCCTCACATTTTACGTTTTTTGCCCTATCTTGTCATCATGGTGAAGAGAAGCAGTTGTGAAATGAGTGACATGGTTGTTAAGAATGCTGCACGGGCATAAATGTGAGGATGGTCATAAGTGTGAGGACAGTCAAAAGTGCCAGGACCTGTCAGAAATGACTTTTTTCAGCCCTCTGAGTAGTCCCTATACATATAGCCATGGCGACCCGGTCACATGACCAGCTAGCCATGCCCACCCAGTCACATGACCTCCAAGCCACACCCACAAAATAAGCCACGCCCACAGAACCCACCCTTGGTTGGGGGTCACCACAACATGAGGAACTGTATTAAAGGGTCGCGGCATTAGGAAGGTTGAGAGCCACTGATCTAAAAGGATGCAAATGACCAGCTTTGTCTGCAAGGAGTATAAATCCTTCCGTTCCCCACCATCCGGTCAGAGTTGAAGCAGCTTCTTGGATGAGAAGGGAAACGTCTTCAAAGAAAAAACAAGGAAGTCCAATCGCCTCCTGAAAAAAAGCACCTTTGGGAGTGATGACAGTTAAACAGGGGAACAGCTTTCCTCCAGAAGTTGTGAGTGCTCCCATCACCGGAGTTTTTTTTAAGAAAAAGACTATAGACAGTCACATCTGAAATGGTATAGGTTCTCCTGCTTGAGTAGGGGGCTGGACTAGAAGACCTCCAAGGTCCCTTCCAGATTCTATTCTGTTCTATTTTCTGTTCTGTTTTATTTCTATTTTTATATTCTATTCTATTTTCTATTCTCTCTTCTCCCCTCTCCTTTCTCCCCTTCCCTTTCCTTCCCTTCCCCTTCATTCCATTCTAATTCTAATCAATTTAATTCCATTCCATTCTCCCTTCTCCTCTTCTCTTCTCTTCTCTTCTCTTCTCTTTCTCTTCTCTTCTCTTCTCTTCTCTTCTTTCTTCTCCCTCCCCTCCCTTCCCTTCCCCTTCATTCCATTCCATTCCAATTCTAATCAGTTTAATTCCATTCTATTCTCTCTCCTCTCCTCTCCTCTCCTCTCCTCTCCTCTCCTCTCCTCTCCTCTTCTCTTCTCTTCTCTTCTCTTCTTTCTCCCCTCCCCTCCCCTCCCCTTCCCTTTCCTTCCCTTCCCCTTCATTCCATTCTAATTCTAATCAATTTAATTCCATTCCATTCTCCCTTCTCTTCTCTTCTCTTCTCTTCTCTTCTCTTCTCTTCTCTTTCTTCTTTCCTCCCCTCCCCTCCCTCCCCTTCATTCCATTCCATTCCAATTCTAATCAGTTTAATTCCATTCTATTCTCTCTCCTCTCCTCTTCTCTCCTCTCCTCTCCTCCCTTCCCTTCCCTTCCCTTCCCTTCCCTTCCCTTCCCCTTCATTCCATTCCATTCTAATTCTAATCAATTTAATTCCATTCCATTCTCTCCTCTCCTCTCCCCTCCCCTCCCCTTCCCTTCCTTTCCCTTCCCTTTCCTTTCCTTCCCTTTCCCTTCATTCCATTCCATTCTAATTCTAATCAATTTAATTCCATTCCATTCTCTCCTCTTCTCTTCTCTTCCCTTCTCCTCTCCTCTCCTCTTCTAAATTGTAAGTCAAAGACTTCCGATTGTGATAAGCAGACTACGTTACAGTCGTAAGTAGAAGACTCCCTGTACCATTGAGATCACATCAAGGGTTCTGCTTTCCTCCTTTCTCGTTCTTGGCCCTGATTCTCCCATAACCCCTCTTAGTGACCGTGAAACCTTTTAAAGACAGGAAAGAAAAAACCTGATTTTTAGAGTGGAGAAGCTTTGAATTTCCACTCAAGCTGTTTGAAGAAGGAGTTGTGCTGTTGGACATGGTGGCCTGCCAAGATACTGCGTTGCTAAAAAGCCTCTTAAGAAATCCAAACTTGGTGTGGGTGTTGGCTGAGAACACAATGGGGTTGCGATCAGGAGACCACAAATTCTTGGCCAAGCTCTTGACGTTCTCACCTGCTGCGGAAAGGACAATGGCATTCCAATTTGATGAGCTAAATCCCGCTGGCCTCAAAAAAAGCACCTGTTCAAAATTTTAACCTGTAAATCCCAGGACAGATTGGAGAGCAAAGTTAGATAGATAGATTAACAGAGTTGGAAGGGACCTTGAAGGTCATCTAGTCCAACCCCCTGCCCAAGCAAGGAGACCCTACACCATTTCTGACCGATGGCAGTCCAGTCTCTTCTTGGAAGTTTCCAGTGATGAAGCTCCCACAACTTCCAAAGGCAACTTCTGTTCCATGGGGTTGATTGTTCTCACTGTCAGAAAATGTCTCCTTATTTCTAGGTTGAATCTCTCCTTGGTCAGTTTCCATCCATTATTCCTTGTCTGGCCTTCGGGTGCTTTGGAGAATAGCTTGACCCCCTTCCTCCTGTCTGGGGCAGCCCCTCAAATATTGGAAGATGCTCTCCTGTCTCCCCTGGTCCTTCTCTTCACTAGACTAGCCAGGCCCAGTAACCGTTCTTCATATGTTTTGACTAACTCTTAAGGCAAGGAGTCTCCAAAGCTGGCAACTTTTAAGACTTGGGGACTTCAGTTCCCAGAATTCCCCAGCCAGCATGTCCACAAGTCTTAAAATTGCCAATTTTGGAGATTACTTTGCTAGGAGCCCTCATGACTGAATATTGTTAAAAGGCTTGTAAATTAACCAAGAGATGCATTGGTGATTGGGGGGTGGGGGGGGGGAAATGGGGGGCAGGATGCGATTGCCATGATCTATGCCTAGAAGATTATTAAATTATGAATTCATTGCCACACCTGTCCACCACAAAATGGAAGGCCCAGCCCTTGTATTTATTATTTATTTATTTATTAGTTTGATTTATATGCCGCCCTTCTCCGGAGACTCAGGGGGCTTACAATGCGTTAAACAATAGCCTTCATACTTTTGTATATACCTGCTTAGTAGGGCTTTTGGCCCCCCCCAAGTAGGGCTTTTGGCCCCCCCCAAGCGGTGTTCTATTTTATACAAAGTAGGCTTATTGCCGCCACAAACCGGGTCCTCATTTTACCTACCTCGGAAGGATGGAAGGCTGAGTCCATCTTGAGCCTGGTGAGATTTGAACTCGCAGTAATTGCAGGCAGCTGGCAGCTAAATACTACTTTAACAGTAGTTTAGTCCACTGCGCCACCAGTCTCATCTCATTGTAATTGAGACCTAAACCAAGAAATGGGTTAAAATCCATTTTACCTTCATAGGTTAGTAGTTATTTATTTATTGGTTAATTGCTAATGTTCCAGAGGACGAGAACGGAAGAAGAGGCTATACTCTGTGGTTAAACTAGTGTTCTATTATTACGATATCCAGATTACACAAAATTGCAGTCATTGGGCAGAAGGTGTTTGATCAAGGACTGCAGTGTTCTATCAAACACTGCAATAAAAAAAATCGAACAAGGTTAACCGAATTAAAATAGTCAAACAGTTTAAAAAAAAAAAACCTACCTTACTGATAGAAGAGAATATCTGTAGCTCAGGGTCAAACTGTGAGGTCCTTGGTGCTCCTTGAGTTGGTTGTTTTCTTGCAGACGTTCCATGACCCAACTAAGGAACGTCATCAGTGCTAAAAGAGAAGGGGGTTTGTGGAGTGAAGGAGAAGGGGAGGAGGAGGAGAAAGAGGAAGAGGAGGGCTGTGGGTTCCTTAGCTTGATTGTTTTCTGGCCAGGGTGGATTTGATTTAAATCGAGTTGATTTAAATCACGATTTAAATCATGATTTAAATCCCTAGTAAAAAGGCTTGATTTAAATCAACTCGATTTAAATCATAATTTTTAAAGAGCAACTCTCATCTCTGCTCCTCCTTTGACCCACCGTTGACTCACCGATAGTTCCAGTGTTGCAGAATATACAGCCTCCTGCTACGTAACTAAGCTCCATTTCATGCTGAATAAACTAAATGATTTATGTATCTTAAATAGGAAACTATCTTACGATAGATTTTTACCCCAAAAGTTTTTTATTAAAATAAATTCGATAAAAATTTTAAAAAAAACAGATTTAAATCAAAAAAGTCAGATTTAAATAAAAAAAATCTGATTTTTTTTAAAAAAAGCATTGATTTTTATCCACCCTGTTTCTGGCAGACGTTTCATGACCCAACTAGGGAACATCATCAGTGCTACAAGGGAGTGGGTTTGCTGGAGAGGAGGAGAAAGAGCAGGAAGAGGAAGAGGAAAACGGGGGGGGGGGGTCCTTGGTGCTCTCTGAGCCTGATTGTTTCATTCCCAACTAGGGAACATTATCAGTGCTATCTCGCCTTCGCCCTCATTCAATCCTAGTTGCCATGACTGACCTTTTCTGTCTTCTCGCAGCTTCCAAGGAACTGCAATGGAGAAGTTGAAGCGGACGGTGGAGCAGGCCCGAGCTGCCTTCAATACGGGCAAGACGCGTCCGTTGGCTTTCCGGATCCAGCAGCTGAAAGCCTTGAAGAAGATGATGCAGGAGAAAGAGAAGGAGTTCTCCGCAGCCCTGAAGGCGGATCTCAACAAGGTCGGTGCTGTCGCATTTGGGTGTGTTGACGTTGGTGCAGAGAACGCTGGGGATGGAGCGGATACACAAGTAGCCGTTTGGTTGTCCGAATGCAGCTGACCTGGGGTTCCCTATTGCAGGTGGGATGAGGGCCCACTTCTCCCCGGGCCAGGGAGATTGTCAGACTTCGATGCTATCTCAAAATAAAATGAATTTCCAAACTGCCAATCTTTAAGGAAATCTTTTCTTGAATTGAGCACAGCCACCGGATCATGACTCGATGCGGACAAGACTGACCTTTTGCCCCCCACCAATCCCTCCCTTTCCGATCCCCAAATCTCTGCTTCTCATTGGCTATCTTCCAAGTCATTCTTCAGACTTCTTGTCTCGTCATTTCCCAGGAATGTCCCCCCCTCCTCATTTCCACGACAACCCGACTTCAAAGGGATTTAGCAGGCAAAAGTTCAGAGCTTATCTCTCTCTCTCCTCTGCTCTCTATGCCAGCGGTCGAAACGCTGACAGAGATCTTGCTTGGAGGGTGAGAAGAAAAAATCGACCACAGTACACCGAGTTTCTCTTGCAAAGGAATTAATTGTTGAAAGAGACTCAGGATTTCTTCTCCTGGCAGGGTTCAGGAAAACTGGAGGGGAGGGGGTCTGGGGAGATGGAAGTGGGGGCTGCTGCTCTCCCCTGATGATGCAGTAAAGTTTTAGCCCGAAGAGGAAGAAAATACATGGTACTGTTAGCAAAACAGGAGCTTACACCAGGAAGTCAGGAAAGCGTGAGAAAGAAACTCAATATTTTCCCATCTTGATTCTCCTTCATATGTGGAAGAAATAGCAGTGGCTTTTAGTAAAACAGGAGCCCACCCCAGGAAGTCAGGAAAGTGTGAGGAAGAAACTCAATATTTTCCCATCTTGATTCTCCTTCATATGTGGAAGAAATAGCAGTGGCTTTTAGTAAAACAGGAGCTTACCCCAGGAAATCAGGAAAGTGTGAGAAAGAAACTCAATATTTTCCCATCTTGATTCTCCTTCATATGCGGAAGAAATATACGGTGGCTTTTAGCAAAACAGGAGCTTACCCCAGGAAGTCAGGAAAGCGTGAGAAAGAAACTCAATATTTTCCCATCTTGATTCTCCTTCATATGTGGAAGAAATGTACGGTGGCTTTTAATAAAACAGGAGCCCACCCCAGGAAGTCAGGAAAGTGTGAGGAAGAAACTCAATATTTTCCCATCTTGATTCTCCTTCATATGTGGAAGAAATAGCAGTGGCTTTTAGTAAAAAAAGTCCTTTAGCAAACCATGGATTCATTTAATGACGGCTGTGTTTACTTTTCAACCTCCACGTTCACTTAATGACCTCCAGAGAAAAGACCCTAAAATCAGGTTTGACCCGCATTACAACTGTCCCCACTTAAGAACTGAAATTGCGGGCTCAATTACGATCAATAAAGGAGAATATTTGTAGCTCAGGGTTGACATGAGGGGTCTTCGGTGCTCTCTGAGCTTTGCTGGTTTTTAGTCCAATCAAAGAATCCCTTAAATCGCCCACACCCACGCAGACAGGCAAGACACAGGAATATAAACTGACAGCAAACAGCACTCCTTTCTACTGGTAGCACTGATGACATTACCTAGTTGGGTCATGAAACGTCTACAAGCAAGCTCAGAGAGCACCAAGGACCCTGCAGTCGCCCTCTTCCTCCTCCTCCTCCTCCCCCTCTTCCTCCTCCTCCTCCTCTTCTTCCTAAACCCCATTCCCTTCTAGCACTGAATATGTTACCTAGTTGGGTCATGAAACGTCTACAAGAAAACCCTCCTCCTCCTCCTCTCTGCAAACCTCTCTCCCTTCTAGCATTGATGATGTAACCTAGTTGGGTCATGAAACGTCTGCAAGAAAACCCTCTTCCTCCTCCTCCTCCTCTCTGCAAACCCCTCTCCCTTCTAGCATTGATGATGTAACCTAGTTGGGTCATGAAACATCTGCAACAAAACCCTCCTCCTCCTCTCTGCAAACCCCTCTCCCTTCTAGCATTGATGATGTAACCTAGTTGGGTCATGAAACGTCTGCAACAAAACCCTCCTCCTCCTCCTCCCTGCAAACCCCTCTCCCTTCTAGGATTGATGATGTAACCTAGTTGGGTCATGAAACGTCTACAAGAAAACAAGGAAACATACTAACATAAAACATAAGAGCTCTTATTTACTAAGTTTATTAAATTTATTTGGTACCCCTCCCGTTGCAAGGTGGCCCTTGCTTGTCTTTATTGATTTTCATGTATTTGTTACACAATTTTATATCAAACCCACCCACCCCTAACCGACACAGACGTGACTCTTGCAGAGTGAATTCAACAGCTTCAGCTACGAATTTATGATCGTCCTGGGCGAGATTGACCTGATGCTGGAGAAGCTTCCCGACTGGGCCAGCCCTCAGGCCGTGGAGAAGACGGTCCTGACATTGAGCGACAAGACCTACATCCATCGAGAGCCCCTGGGGGTGGTCCTGGTCATCGGGGCGTGGAACTACCCCTTTGTCTTGGTCATGCAGCCTCTGATAGCAGCCATCGCTGCCGGTAGGTGGTTTACTCACTTGAAATCCTCACCATCGGAATAGAGGTGGAAGGGACCCTGGAGGTCTTCTAGTCCAACCCCCTGCTCAAGCAGGAGACACTATATACCATTTGAGACAAATGGCTGTCCAGTCTCTTCTTAAAAACCTCCAGTGATGAAGCACCCACGACTTCTGGTGGCAAGCAGTTCCACTGGTTAATTGTCCTTACTGTGGGGAAGTTTCTCCTCAATTCCAGGTTGCTTCTCTCCTTGATTGGTTTCCACCCATTGCTTCTTGTCCTGCCTTCAGGTGCTTTGGAGAATAGCTTGACTCCCTCTTCTTTGGGGCAGCCCCTGAGATATTGGAAGACTGCTATCATGTCTCCCCTGGTCCTTCTTTTCTCTTAGACTAGCCAAACCCAAATCCTGCAACCGTTCTGTATATATTTCTAATCTCCAGACCTTTGATCATTTTAGTTGCTCTTCCTTGCACTTTTCCCAGTGTCTCAGCATCCTTTTTTCTAATGTGGTGACCAAAACTGGATGCAGGATTCCAGATGTGTCCCAAAGGTGCTTTTTTTTCCAAGAGGCAACTGGACTTTCTGTTTTTTTGTTTTTTTGCAAAAAGTTTTTTTTTATATTTTTATTTTTTCCAACACACAAATTACATCTTTTCGGAACAGAGCCCTGATCCAGCCATCAATTTATACAGGTTTCTTTTTTCCCCATCTTTAACAAAATTTTGTATATTCTATTTTGCCATAACACTTATTTCTTAAGCTTAACTCACCTATCTCAACTAATACCATCTTTAAAAAAATTAAATCAAATTTACTTAATCAAAACAATTACCCTTCTATTAACCCCCCTTAAATCGTAATTCAATTAATACTTCATAGTACATTTCACAATTCTTACCCTAAATCCTCACTATTAACAATGCTTAATCTTAAATCACCTATCTCCCCTATTACCATCTTATAAAAAGTTTACTCTTATTTATTTAATCAAAACAATTAATTTAATTTAATTTAATTAATCATATTTCTATGCCGCCCAACTCCCAAGGGACTCTGGGCAACTTACCCTTAAATCTCAATTCAATTAATACTTCATAATACATTTCACAATTCTTAGCCTAAATCCTATTAAGAATACAGGTCAAACATGTTTATGTTTCAAAATCTTATTTCCCTTTCTAAAAGTTCCCCACATTTTTTACTTCCTATAATGGTCAATAAATCTTTATTTCCCTATTACTTCACCAAATTTAGATCCTATCTCTAATCCCAAAAATATAGCAATTTAACCTTGAAACCTAGTTCTTAATTCAAATAAGACTACAATACAATTCGAATTATTTCCCACAGTTCTATCTCCTTAACCATACCATTTGATTAATAAATAAATAAATAAATTTGACTTTCTGTTTTTTCTTTGAAGACATTTCACTTCTCATCCAAGAAGCTTCTTCAGGAATGAGGCAAAAAATTCCGTTGCTAAGTGAGACTTCCGTTAAGGGAGCTTTGCCCCGTTTTATGACCTTTCTTGCCACAATGGTTAAACGAATTGCTGCCGTTGTTCAGTTAGTAACATGTTACTAAATGAATCTGGCTTCGCCGATCAAAAGGGGATCACGTAACCCCGAGACACTGCAGCCTTCGTCATAAATAGGAGCCAGTTGCTGAGTATCCGAATCACGTGACCACAGGGATACTGCAACGGTCGTAAGTGTGAAAAACAGCCATAAGTCACTTTTTAAAGTGGTGTTGTAACTTCGAATGGTCACTAAATGAGCTTTTGTAAGTCAAGGACGGCCTGTATCATAAAACATATAGCAAAATACCTGTAAAATAACATTCATTTCAATTCATTCTTAAAGACGGAATAAATTCAGCTAGGCCTCAACTGGTAGCTTAGCAACAATTCCAAAATTGTTACCAAAACTATTTTCTAATTGTTACCAAAAATTTTTTTTCCAAAAAAAGCTACCTATGACCCAGAGGAGCGGGAGAAGTCACTTTGCTTAAAATCTGCACGATTCACTTAATGACTAACAAAGATTCACTCAGCGACCGTGGTAGAAAAAGTTGTAAAGTCAGACCCGCCTCCCTTAACAACCGTCTTGCTTAGCAGTGGAAATTCTGGCCTCCCCAAATGTGATGATAAGTTGACGACCAACTGTAATTTGGGTTCCGGCATGGAGCACGGGGGTTGGACTGGATGACCTCAGGGTGTCCTTTCATTCTCCATTCCTGCATTATGTGTTGTTTTTCAGGCAATGCTGTCGTGGTCAAGCCATCGGAGGTCAGCGAGAACACAGCCAAGATGTTTGAAAAGCTGTTGCCTCAATACCTCGACAAGGTGAGGGTGAACAATTGTTGCTGTGTGGCTTCGCGGTGTGGTTGCGTTTCATTTGCCAACAGCCAGGGCTTGTGTGTTTTTGTGCGTGTGGTTGTGTTTCACTCCAAAAGGCCACTATGTTGTGGCCCGTACGCGGCCTGTGCAGCTAGTAGCTGATTCCGACAGCGAGGAGGCTGGTATGGTGCTGCGCCAGCAGCCTGTGCAGCTGGCACTCAAGTCAGACAGTGAGGAGGCTGGAGAAGACGTGGTGCCAGAGACAGGGATTCAGCCAGGGCCTTCAGAACTTCCAGAAGCTTCCACGGGTGAAGAGGAAGAAGAGGAGGAGCCTCTTCTCGATGCACGGGTGCGCAGAGCTGCCAAAAGGCAGGAGTGGCTCCTCAGGAGGAGGTCTCCTCGAGAGTAAGGCTTGGGGCTAATTGGCCACTCCCTTAGCCTATTTAAGGAGGAATGCCGACTGAAGCAATTTGCAGGGAACAACTTCATTCACTCTCCTTCGCATCTTGATCTTAATTCTCTTTATCAGTTTCCTGCAAATTGCTTCTGGGCTTTCTGCCAACCATAGTAAGATTACAATTCTTTATTCTTTGGATTCTTGTAGGCTGTTAAGAGAGTTAATTAACAGCCTTTGTTTGAAAAAGACTGATTTAATTTAGTAAACTAAGGTTTGTACAGACTGTGTGTGTGCTGCGCTCTTTGGGGTCCGTAGCTGGGGCAGAACACACTACAGGAAGTTCTCGACCTACATCCATTCGTTTAGTGACCGTTCGAAGTTAGAAGAACACTGAAAGAAGTGGTACAGGTAGTCCTCTACTTACAACAGCTCATTTAGTGACCATTCAAAGCTACCATGGCACTGAAAAAAAGTGACTTTGGGGCCGTTTTTCACACTTAACGACCCTTGTAGCGTTTCCAGGTTCACATGATTTACATTTGGATCTTTGACAACTGACTCACATTTATGACGGTCGCATAAATGTGACCGTCACATGATCCCCTTTTGCGACCTTCTGATAAGTCTAGGGAGAAGCCAGATTCACTTAACGACCGTGTGACTCATTGAAGAACTGCAGTGAATTCCCTTAAGAAATGTGGCAAGAAAAGTCGTAAAAAGGGGGCAAAATTCACTTAACAAATTTCTCACTCAGCAACATAAATTTGGGGATCGGTTGTGGTCGTAAGTCGAGGATTACTTGTATATGGCCAATTTTTTTTTCCCACACTTATGACCGTTGCAGCATCCCCACGTGACCAAGTTTTGGACGCTTGGCAACTGACTCGTATTTATGACGGTTGCAGTGTCCCTGGGGTCACGTGCTCCTCTTTTGCGACCTTTGGACAAGCGAAGTCATTAAGGTAGCCGGATTTACTTAACAACCATGTTACGAATTTATAACACCTGCAGTGATTCGCTTAACAACTGCGGCGAGAAAGGTTGTAAAATGGGGCAAAACTCCCTGAACATCTCGTTTAGCAAGTTTGGGCTTCAATTTTGTAACCTTTCTTGCCATCGGTTGTTAAGTCAATCATTGCAATTCTTTAAGTGAGTCACATGGTTGTTAAGCGAATCCGGCTTCCTCGTTGACTTTGCTTGTCAGAAGGTCGCAAAAGAGGATCAACTGACCCAGGACACTGCGACCGTCATAAATATGAAACTCGTTGCCAAGTATCTGAATTTTGATCCCATGATCCATGGGGATGCTGCAAAGATCATAACTCTGAAAAATAAGTCACATTTTCAGCGCCATTGTTAACTTTGGTCACTAAACAAACTGTTGTAAGTCAAGGACTGTCTTAGCCACTGTCTCTCCCTTAGCAACAGAAATGTTGGGGGTCAATTGTGACCGTAAGTCGAGGACTACCTGCGTAAACCTCACCCTATTAAAACAGGACCAATTAAAATATTGAAAATGTTTTGAAGTTTTTTTAAAAAAACATTAAAATTAGAAATTAAAATGTTGAATGCTTCTTTTGAAGACCGAACCTTTGAAATTATAAGATTGTTTCAATTTTGACCAGGTGACCACGGACGATGCTGCGATGGTCGTAAGTGTGAAAAATGTCCTAAATTCACTTTTTCCAGTATTGTTGTAGCGTTGAGCAATCGCTGAATGAATCGTCGTAAGTCGAGGACTAGCTGCATGTGGAGATGAAAACCCATTTATTTATCTACAGGCGGTCCTCGACTTAACAACAGTTCATTTAGTGACCGTTCAAAATGACAACAGCACTGAAAAAAGTGAACTTACGACCCTTTTTCACACTTAACGACCGTGGCAGCCTCCCTAAGGTCACATAATTTATATTCGGATGCTTGACAACGGACTCATAGTTATGACGGTTGCAATGTCCTGGGGGGTGGTGGTTACGTGATCCCCTTTTGCGACCTTTTAACCAGGAAAGTCCACCGGGAATCCAGATTCACTTAACAGCCATGTGACTCATTTAACAAATGCAAGGATTCGCTTAACAACGGTGGCAAGAAGAGTCATAAAATTTGCCAAACTCGCTTAACAAATATTTCACTTTGCAACATCTCTTTTGGGCTCAATTGTGGTCGTAATTCGAGGACTCTCTGTATCCCCTCTGTGTCCCCCCCACCTCCCACCCCAGGATCTGTATCCGGTGGTCAACGGAGGGGTGCCGGAGACGACGGAACTGCTGAAGCAAAGGTTCGACCACATCTTCTACACGGGCAACAGCGCCATTGGCAAAATTGTCATGGAAGCCGCCTCCAAGCATCTGACCCCCGTCACTCTCGAGCTGGGCGGGAAGAGCCCTTGTTACATCGATGAGGACTGCAATCTTGAGGTGGCTTGCAGGTGAGTAGTTTGGCATCTTCTACAGGTAGCCCTCGACTTAACAATGGCTCATTGAGTGACCGAAGTTTCAACGGCACTGAAAAAAGTCCGCTTATGACTGTTTTTCACACTTACGACTGTTCCAGCATCCCCGCGGTCACATGATCAAAACTGAGATGCTTGGCAACTGGCATGTATTTAAGAAGAGAAGAGAAGAAGAGAGGAGAGGAGAGGAGAGGAGAGAAGCGGAGAGGAGAGTGTTGGGAGGGAAGAGGAGAGGAGAGAAGAAGAGAAGAGAGGCGGAGAGGAGAGGAGAGGAGAAGAGAAGAGTGTTGGGAGGGGAGAAGAGAAGAAAAGAATAGAATTAAGAATTGAATAGATAGAATAGAATTAAGAATAGAATAGAATAAAATTTTAGAATAGAATAGAATTAAGAATAGAATAGAATAAAATTTAGAATAGAATAGAATTAAGAATAGAATAGAATAAAATTTAGAATAGAATAAAATTTAGAATAGAATAGAATTAAGAATAGAATAGAATAAAATTTTGAATAGAATTAAGAATAGAATAGAATTAAGAATAGAATAGAATAAAATTTAGAATAAAATAGAATTAAGAATAGAATAGAATTAAGAATAGAATAGAATAAAATTTAGACTAGAATTAAGAATAGAATAGAATAGAATTAAGAATAGAATAGAATAAAATTTAGAATAGAATAGAGAATAGAATAGAATAAAATTTAGAATAGAATAGAATTAAGAATAGAATAGAATAGAGAATAGAATAGAATAAAATTTAGAATAGAATAGAATTAAGAATAGAATAGAATAGAATTAAGAATAGAATAGAATTAAGAATAGAATAAAATTTAGAATAGAATAGAATAAAGAATAGAATAGAATAAAATTTAGAATAGAATAGAATAAAGAATAGAATAGAATAGATTAGAATACCGTGTTTCCCTGAAAATAAGACCCTGTCTTATATTTTTTTGAACCCGAACTCCACCCCGCGTGGAATAAGATGGGGCTTCTCTTGCCGTCTTACCTGATTTTCAGCTCTGTCTCCCTAACCCTAATCAGAAGAAATGGTGGGGACCAGCTGTGCATGCGGTTAAATATTTTCAGGGAGGGCTTATTTTCGGGGGGGGATTTCAGCGCATGCGCTCAAAAGCCCGCTTGGGCTTATTATCAGGGGATGCCTTATTTTCGGGGAAACAGGGTAGAATAGAATAACTTTATTGTCACTTTGAGTCTACACTAATCAGCATATACTCCAATATACACTATATAAACATGACAAGATAAATAAGTAAATACAAAATTATGCATATACCCACATAGATTATATGACACAGAGAAACAACACAGTCTAGTTCGGATGTATACGTGTACATGGTGAGAAAAACGAATCTTGCGAGATTACCAGACGGATGGGCTAGGGAACAAAGCTCTTCCAGAATCTGGTAGTCCTTCTATAGATACTTCGGAACCTCCTCCCATAACTGAGCAACAGAAATGGACCGTGAAGTGGGTATGTGGGGTCTCTAACAATGCTTTGAGCTCTAAGCACATAGCAGTTTTAAGCAATATCCTGAATGACGGGAAGCAAACTTCCTGTAATCTTCTCCACTGTCCTCACCACTCTCTGTAGGGACTTTCTATCTGAGGCACTGCGGCCACCAAACCAAACAGGGAGGCGGTTTTGTTAAAACGCTCTCCGTGGTGCCTCTGTAAAAAGTGGCCAGGACAGAAGGAGAACGAGGTGCTCTCCTCATCCGACGCAGGAAATGCAGACACTGGTTTGCACGCTTCAGTTTAGGATTTTGTGAATTGGAATTTTTTAAAATTCCAATTACGGTCGTAAGTCGAGTTCTACCTGTAATGTGGATCCCTGGCCTGAACCTGGGGTTCGGCTGGATGACCTCTGGAGAGCTCCTTCCTACTCTTAACCTTCTGGGATTCTTTAATCCTTTTAGGCGGATTGCGTGGGGGAAGTACATGAATTGTGGCCAGACCTGCATTGCGCCGGATTATATCCTATGCAATCCATCCATTCAGAAGACCGTTGTGGAGATCATTAAAAAGACCGTCAAGGTAAGAACTAGGCCGGGGGTCTCCTGTGTCTGGGAAAGGCCAATTCCTGTTGTGGGGCAAGACAGGATCATGACGGCATCAGAATTTGGGAGTTTCTGGGCAAATGCCAGTTGACTCTTCAAAAACAGAGAAACGTGCGTTGCTCCTTGACCAAAACTCCAGAGGAAACTTTTTTCCTCCGCCGGGATTAGCAGCAAAGCAGCTTCCATTGCAAGCTGTAGCACAAAGATTTTGGGGTAACAGTAAAAGGGAAGTTGCTTGTCTTTTGCACTGATGGTTTAGCAAAAGCCTCCTGGTGGTGCAGCTGCAGGAGAAGGGCGTAATCCCCAACCCCAACCCTTCGAGGTAGGCCAGGCCATGAGACAAACCCCACAGGCATAAAATAACAGAATCTTAATACAGTAAATACAAATTTACAAATTCTTCCCTTTTATATTGAAGGAAATCAGGCTGGAAAAATCGGTCTTTTTCCCCCCATCCTTCCTTCTGTTTTTTTCTCTCTTTCCTTCCTTCCTCCCTATTTTTTCTTTTTTCCTTTCTTTTTTCTCCCTCACTCCCTCCTTCCTTCCTTCCTTCCTTCTGTTTTTTCCTCTCTTTCCTTCCTTCCTTCCTCCCTATTTTGTCCTTCCTCCCTCCCTCCCTCCTTTCTTCCTTCCTTCTGTTTTTTTCTCTCTTTCCTTCCTTCTTACCTATTTTTTCCTTTTTCCCTTCCTCCCTCCCTCCCTCCTTCCTTCCTTCCTTCTGTTTTTTCCTCTCTATCCTTCCTTCGTCCCAATTTTGTCCTTCCTCCCTCCCTCCCTTTTTTCCCCTCTCTTTCCTTCCTTCCTCCATATTTTGTCCTTTCTCCCTCCCTCCTTCCTTCCTTCTGTTTTTTCCTCTTTCCTTCCTTCTTACCTATTTTTTCCTTTTTCCCTCCCTCCCTCCCTCCTTCCTCCCTCCCTCCTTCCTTCCTTCCGTCCTTCCTTCCTATTTTTCACTTTCCCCTCCCTCCCTTCTTCCTTCCTTCCTTCTGTTTTTTCCTCTCTTTCCTCCCTCCTTCCCTCCTTTCCTATTTTTTACTTTCTCCTACCTACCTACCTTCCTATTTTTTACTTTCCCCTTCCTTCCTTCCTCCCTCCCTCCCTCCCTCCCTCTTAAAAATCAGGCACAACTCACTTAATCGTCTCTCTTAGTGACAGAAGCTCCGTCCCAATTGCGGTCGTAAGTCGAGGACTAGCCAGTCCTTATTACCTAGAGCAGGGGTGTCTAACTCAAGGCCCGGGGGCCGGATTTGGCCTGCGTGGTGCTAACTCAAGGCCAAGCTCCGTTTTCCCTGGCAGAGCGTTGCAGGAGGCCGTCGTAGCCGTAAACGGAGCTCGGGAGTCTGTTTGCGCTTGGGCCCCCACAGGTGCCCCCGACACGAGTGACGTCGAGCTGGCCACGGTGACCCCGCCCCCCCCAAGGTCAAACACAACCTCGATGCGGCCCTCAATGAAATCGAGTTTGACCCCCCCCCGGCCTGGAGGGAGCCATCCGTGTTGATTCCCTTGCAGGAATTCTACGGCGAGAACGTTAAGGACTCCCCGGATTACGAGCGGATTGTGAACAAGCGTCATTTCAAGAGACTGATGGGCCTTTTGGAAGGACAGAAGGTGGCCTACGGGGGTGAAACGGATGAGTCCGCCTGCTTCATAGGTGAGCCCCCAAACCAGTCAGATGCCCCAAAACCTCCCCAGGGGGAAAACACAACAACCCCCTCCCTCCCTCCCTCTTTCTTTCTCTTTCTTTCTTCCTCCCTTCCTCCCTCTCTCTTTCTCTCTCTCTTTCTTTCTTTTTCTTTCGTTCTTTTTCTTTCTTTCTCTCTCCCTCCTTCCCTCCCTCCCTCTTTCTTTCTTTCCTTCTTCTTCCCTCCCTCTGTCTTTCTCTCTCTCTTTCTTTCTTTTTCTTTCGTTCTTTTTCTTTTTCTTTCTTTCTCTCTCCCTCCTTCCCTCCCTCCCTCCCTCTTTCTTTCTCTTTCCTTCTTCCTCCCTCCCTCTCTCTTTCTCTCTCTCTCTCTTTCTTTTTCTTTCATTCTTTTTCTTTCTTTCTCTCTCTCTCCTTCCCTCCCTCCCTCTTTCTTTCTCTTTCTTTCTTCCTCCCTTTCTCCTTTCCTCTTTCTTCCTTTTTCTTTCCTTCTTTCTCTTTCTCTCCCTCCCTCCTTCTCTTTCCTTCTTCCTCCCTCCCTCTCTCCCTCCCTCCCTTCCTTCCTTCCTTTCTTTTTTTCTTTCTTTCTCTCTCCCTCCCTCCATCCCTTCCTCCCTCCTTTCCTCTTTCTTTCTCCTTTCTTCTTCCTCCCTCCCTCCCTCCCTCCCTCCCTCCCTCCCTCCCTCCCTCCCTCTCTCTCTTTCTTTCTTTCTTTCTTTCTTTCTTTCTTTCTTTCTTTCTTTCTCTCTCTCTCTCTCTCTCTCTCTCTCTCTCTCTCTCTGCCTCCCTCCCCTCCTTCCTTCTTCCCTCTCTCCTTCCTCCCTCCCTCCCTCCCTCCCTTCCTTCCTTTGTCTTTCAGTTTCTGTAAAATTCTCGATGAATATAAATACAGATACATCAAAACAGATGCTTGCTCTGTGTCACCCAATGCTGTGGCTAGTCCTGCCACTTAGCCTGCAGCCGAGAACCGTGGCTATTTTTGTGGCCTTCTCTCCCTTCCTCTTTTTCTAGCTCCCACGATCCTCACGGACGTCAATCCGGAAGCCCAGATCATGCAGGAAGAGATTTTCGGCCCCATCCTGCCCATCGTCACAGTGAAGGGGGTGGAGGAAGCCATCCAGTTCATCAACCAGCGCGAGAAGCCCCTCGCCCTCTACGTCTTCTCCGACAGCAACAAGGTAGACTTTGCCTTCCCAGGTTCCAGGCAGGCTCCATCTCTTTAAATTCAGGACTGTCTTCCTTTTGGGTACCTGGAGGAATCTCCTTCGGATATAAAACTTCTCTTTTTTATTCAGAGGTGTAGTTCCTTCCTTCCTTTTCTTTCTTTCTTTCTTCCTTCCTTTCTTTCTCCCTGCCTCCCTCCCTCCCTCCCTCCATCTCTCCCTTCCTTCCTTTCTTTCTTTCTTCCATCCTTCCTTTCTTTCTCCCTGCCTCCCTCCCTCCCTCCGTCTCTCCCTTCCTTCCTTTCTTTCTTCCTTCCTTCCTTTCTCCCTGCCTCCCTCTTTCCATCTCTCCCTTCCTTCCTTTCTTTCTTCCATCCTTCCTTTCTTTCTCCCTGCCTCCCTCCCTCCGTCTCTCCCTTTCTTTCTTCCTTCCTTCCTTCCTTTCTTTCTCCCTGCCTCCCTCCCTCCATCTCTCCCTTCCTTCCTTCCTTTCTTTCTTCCTTCCTTCCTTCCTTTCTCCCTGACTCCCTCCCTTCGTCTCTCCCTTCCTTCCTTCCTTTCTTTCTTCCTTCCTTCCTTTCTCCCTGCCTCCCTCCCTCCGTCTCTCCCTTCCTTCCTTTCTTCCTTCCTTCCTTTCTCCCTGCCTCCCTCCTTCCATCTCTCCCTTCCTTCCTTTCTTTCTTCCTTCCTTCCTTCCTTTCTCCCTGCCTCCCTCCCTCCATCTCTCCCTTCCTTCCTTTCTTTCTTTCTTCCTTCCTTCCTTCCTTTCTCCCTGACTCCCTCCCTTCGTCTCTCCCTTCCTTCCTTTCTTCCTTCCTTCCTTCCTTCCTTTCTCCCTGCCTCCCTCCCTCCGTCTCTCCCTTCCTTCCTTTCTTCCTTCCTTCCTTCCTTTCTCCCTGCCTCCCTCCTTCCATCTCTCCCTTCCTTCCTTTCTTTCTTCCTTCCTTCCTTCCTTCCTTTCTCCCTGCCTCCCTCCCTCCGTCTCTCCCTTCCTTCCTTCCTTCCTTCCTTTCTTTCTTCCTTCTTTTTTTCTCCCTGCCTCCCTCCCTCTGTCTCTCCCTTCCTTCCTTCCTTTCTTTCTTCCTTCCTTCCTTCGTTCCTTCCTTCCTCTCTCTCTCTCTCTCTCTCTCTCTCCCTTCCTTCCTTCCTTCCTTCCTCTCTCTCTCTCTCTCTCTCTTTCTTTCTTTCTTCCTTGCTCTTTCCCTCCCTCCCTCCCTTCCGTTTTTCATCCAAACCAACTGACGTATCGACAGCCTTTGCACTCTCTGTTCTCTTCTCTCTTGCCTCCCAGGTCATCAATAAAATGATTGCCGAGACCTCCAGCGGCGGAGTGACCGCCAACGACGTCATCATGCACTTTTCCATTCCAGGTTTACCTTTCGGAGGCGTTGGTGAGTCTCAGAATGGAAGTCGTTTTGGGTTTCCTAATTAGAAAGATTTTCTGCTTAGATTCCTCCTTCCCCCAAGGCCACTTTCCCAGTCCCAGTGTGCTATGCATAGAGCCGAGGTGGCGCAGTGGTTAGAGTGCAGCACTGCAGGCTACTTCAGCTAACTTTCCGCCGTGCCCTCAAGACCCTGATGTTTCAACAGGCGGGGCTAAACATATGAACATGTGAATGATTTTTTATTTTTTTAAATGTTATCTAATTCTGGGTTTTATTTAATTGACCAAACTAAGTAATAATTTTAATTAGCAATTTTATGATGTTTGTGTGTCTATATTTTTCTTGACTGTACACCGCCTTGAGTCCTACGGGAGAAAGGCGGTATAGAAATATAATAAATAAATAAATAAACAAATAAACAAACAAATAAATAAATAAATAAATAAATAAATAAATAAACAAACTGCTAGCTGCAGTTTGGCAGTTCGAATCTCACCTGGCTCAAGGTCGGCTCAGCCTTCCGTCCTTCCGAGGTCGGTAAAATAAATCGTTGGAGGAAAAGGCTGACTCTGTAAACCGCTTAGAGAGGGCTGTAAAAGCACTGTGAAGCGGTATATAAGTCTAAGGGATATTCTTTACGAAGGAAGGAAGAAAAGAAGGAAGGAAGGAAGAAAAGATAGAAGGAAGGAAGAAAAGGGAGGGAGGGAGGAAGGCAAGAAGGAAGGAAGGAATTTGTGGTGACACAGTGGTTATAAATGCAATATTGCAAGCTAACTCTGCTCGCAGTCAGGAGTTCGATCCTGACCGGCTCAAGGTTGACTCAGCCTTCTGTCCTTCCAAGGTTGGTAAAATGAGGACCCAGATTGTTGGGGCCAATGTGCTGACTCTGTAAACCGCTTAGAGAGGGCTGTAAAAGCACTGTGAAGTGGTATATAGGTCTAAATAGGTCTTGAAAGAGCCTTGGTGGCGCATTGGACTAAAGTGCTGTTAAGTAGCACTTAGGTGCCAGCTGTCTGCAATTACTGCGAGTTCGAATCACTCCAGGTTCAAGGTTGACTCAGCCTTCCATCCTTCCGAGGTAGGTAAAATGAGGACCTGGATTGTGGGGGCAATAAGCTGACTTTGTATAAAAAAGAACATTGCTTAGGGGGCGGCCGAAAGCCCTACTAAGCAGGTATATACAAAAGGATGAAGGCTATTGCTTAACGCATTGTAAGTCGCCCTGAGTCTCCGGAGAAGGGCGGCATATAAATCAAACCAATAAATAAATAAATAATCAATCAATCAATCAATCAATCAATCAGGTTTGATCAAAGCTAGCCAGTGAGCAGGAATGCTGGAAAAAGACACAAACATTTTAACATTAAACACAACACCTGTTGACTTGTTCAGCGTCCCCATTTGGCCAGGTGAGTAACAAGACATCTTTTGCGCAATAGATAAGTAGGTTTGAAAGGGAAAAGATGTATATTTATTTTTGTTTATTAATTTTTATTACTATTCGTGTGCCGTATCTGTCATTGGACGTTGGCGATCCTATTTTTATCAACAGCCTCACTTTTTTATTTATTAATTAGGTTTTTCAATGTACTTTTGTTTTATTTATTTATTCGTATCCCACCTTTATTGCTTTATAAGTAACTCAAACATACCTAGTGCTCCTTCCTCTTCCTATTTTCCCTACAACAACAACCCTGTGAGGTAGGTTGGGATGAAAGGGACTCGCCCAAAGTCGCCCAGCTGCTTTTTGTGTCCCAGGGTGGGACTAGAACTCACTGTCTCCTAGTGATTGGCCCAAAGTCACTCACTCAGTTTCATGGCTAAGGCAGGACTAGAACTCATCATCTCCTAGTGATTGGCCCCAAGTTACCTAACTGGCTTTCATGTCTAAGGCGGGACTAGAACTCACTGTCTCCTGGTGATTCGCCCAAAGGCACCCAGTTGGCTTTCATGCCTAAGGCAGGACTAGAACTCACCATCCCCCAGTGTTTAGGCCAAAGGCACCCAGTTGACTTCCATACCTCAGCCAGGACTAGAACTCACTGTCTCCTTTTGATTCACCCACAGACCCCAGGTGGCTTTCATGTCTAAGGCGGGACTAGAACTCACCATCCCCAGTGTTTAGGCCAAAGGCACCCAGTTGACTTCCATACCTCAGCCAGGACTAGAACTCACTGTCTCCTTTTGATTCACCCACAGACCCCAGGTGGCTTTCATGTCTAAGGCGGGACTAGAACTCACCATCCCCCAGTGTTTAGGCCAAAGGCACCCAGTTGACTTCCATACCTCAGCCAGGACTAGAACTCACCGTCTCCTGGTGACTGGGCCAAAGTTACCCAGTGGGCTTTCATGTCTAAGGCGAGACTAGAACTCACTGTCTCCTGGTGATTCACCCACAGTCCCCCAGCTGGCTTTCATGTCTAAGGTGGGACTAGAACTCACCATCCCCCAGTGTTTAGGCCAAAGCCACCCAGTTGACTTTCATACCTCAGCCAGGACTAGAATTCACTGTCTCCTTGTGACTGGGCCCAAGTTACCCAGTGGGCTTTCATGTCTAAGGCGGGACTAGAACTCACTGTCTCCTGGTGATTCACCCACAGTCCCCCAGCTGGCTTTCATGTCTAAGGCGGGACTATAACTCACTATCTCCTGGTGATTCGCCCAAAGTCCCCTAGCTGGCTTTCATGTCTAAGGCGGGACTAGAACTCCTCATCCCCCAGTGTTTAGGCCAAAGGCACCCAGTTGACTTCCATACCTCAGCCAGGACTAGAACTCACTGTCTCCTGGTGAATCGCCCAAAGTTCCCCAGCTGGCTTTCAAGTCTAAGGCGAGACTAGAACTCACCATCGCCCAGTGTTTGGGCCAAAGGCACCCAGTTGACTTTCATACCTCAGCCAGGACTAGAACTCACTGTCCTCTGGTGACTGGCTCCAAGTTACCCAGTGGGCTTTCATGTCTAAGACGGGACTAGAACTCACCGTCTCCTGGTGATTCGCCCAAAGGCACCCAGCTGGCTTTCATGTCTAAGGCGGGACTAGAACTCCCCATCCCCCAGTGTTTAGGCCAAAGGCACCCAATTGACTTCCATACCTCAGCCAGGACTAGAACTCACCGTCTCCTGGTGACTGGGCCAAAGGCACCCTGCCAGCTTTCATGCCTAAGGGGGAGACTAGAACTCGCCGTCTCCTGGTTTTTATACAGCTCCCCTCTCCCCAGCTATGACCCCTTCCCTTGAAATCTGCTTCTCCCCACAGGTAACAGTGGAATGGGCGCCTACCACGGCCATTTTGGCTTTGATATCTTTTCCCATAAGCGCGGCTGCCTCATCCGGACGTTCAAGATGGAAGCCGTCAACGGTATTCGGTACCCCCCGAACAGCCAGAAGAAGGTGGATTGGGCTAAATTCTTCGTCTTGAAGCGGTTCAGCATGTGGAAGTTGGGCCTGGTTGCCCTCGCGGTGCTGGGCATAGTGGCCGCCATTGTGATCAAGGTAAGTCCTGGCGGGATTGCGTAATGTCAGCCCTACGAAGTAAGCCAAAATAAGAACATAGAGCCCTCCACAAGGCTTCCGGGAAATGCTACAGGTTAGTCCCCGATTTACGACCGCTTGTTTAGCAACCGCTTGAAATTACAGGGAGTCCTCGTCTTACGACCCGAACATTCCTCTTGCTAAGTGAGAGGCGTTGAGTGAGTCTTGCTCCATTTTATGACCTTCCTTTTTTTTTTTTTTTTTGCTTTAATTTTAATTAAATTTTAATTTTTTCAAGCAAGCCGGGCTGGCTTAAGAAGAAATTTTTAAATGTTTTAATTGGTAATGAGTTTTAATTGGGCTAAATTTATATGTCTTTTAATTGTTTTTTTAATATTTGTACTGCATGTTTTTTAATTTTGGCTGTACACCGCCCTGAGTCCTCAGGGAGAAGGGCGGTATAGAAATTTAATAATAATAATTTATATGCCGCCCTTCTCCGGAGACTCAGGGCGGCTTACAATGCGTTAAGCAATAGCCTTCACACTTTTGTATATTTATACAAAGTCATCTTATTGCCCCCACAAACTGGGTCCTCATTTCACCTACCTTAGAAAGGATGGAAGGCTGAGTCAACCTTGAGCCTGGGGAGATTCGAACTTGCAGTAATTGCAAGCAGCAGATGTTAATAACAGTGCTTTAGTCCACTGTACTACAGGCTCTTTGCCACCGTGGTTGAAGGCAGCCCCCTGCGTGACACCGAGCGGTCCATAAACGAACGGTCGTATGTCGAGGACTGCCTGTCCTCTCGTTGACGATTGGCGTCTCAGTGAATCGTAGGAAGCCAAGCGGGATGGTATCAAGTTAGTATTTGGATGAGAGACAACCAGGAAATCTCTCGGGTGGAAAATAGCCTGGGAATCTGAAAAAAACCACATTCCAGAAAAAGGCAGGGATGATCCACTCCAGATGGCTGCCAGGAAAAAAGGATTAAGGATATTTATAATGAGATCAGGTGTCACCCTTGATGTGCAGAGGAGGGAGCTCAGCTCAGGTTACAGCACCTGTCAGTCCATCTGATGATGATGGGGCTGGAGGTTAAAACATACGATGAACGGTTGCAGGAACTGGGCCTGGCCAGTCTAGTGAAGAGAAGGACCAGGGGAGACAGGAGAGCATCTTCCAATATTTGAGGGGCTGCCCCAGAGAGGAGGAAGGGGGTCAAGCTATTTTCCAAGGCACCCGAAGGCCAGACAAGGAATCATGGATGGAAACTGATCAAGGAGAGATTCAACCTGGAAATAAGAAAGAATTTTCTGACAGTGAGAACAATAAACCAGTGGAACTGCTTGCCACCAGAAATTGTAGGTGCTCCATCATTGGAGTTTTTAAAGAAGAGATTGGACAACCATTTGGATTTAAAGACCTCTAAGGTCTTTCAACTCTGTTATTCTGCATTCAGATCGATAGATGGGTAGATGTAGATGATGTAGATGTAGATGTAGATGTAGATGTAGATGTAGATGAGGTAGGAAGGTAGCAGTGGTGGGTTTCAAATTTTCTTACTACCGGTTCTGTGGGTGTGGCTTGGTGGGCGTGGCTTGGTGGGCGTGGCAGGGGAAGGATACTGTAAAATCTCCATTCCCACCCCACTCCGGGGAAGATTACTGCAAAATCCCCATTTCCTCCCAATCAGCTGGGACTAGGGAGGCAGAGAATAGATCGGGGTGTGGCCAGTCAGAATTTTTACTACCGGTTCTCCAGAACTGGTCAGAACCTGCTGAAACCCACCTCTGGAAAGTAGGTAGGTAGGTAGGTAGGTAGGTAGGTAGGTAGGTAGATGGATGGATAGATAGATAGATAGATAGATAGATAGATAGATAGATAGATAGATAGAGAAGGATAGATGGAAAGAGATAATAGACGAACAGAACAGAATTAGAAATATAATTCTTTATTGGCCAAGTGTGATTGGACACACAAGGAATTTGTCTTGGTGTATATGCTGTCAGTGACAGACAGACAGACAGACAGAAAAAAAGAAAGACAGAAAGAAAGAAAGAAAGAAAGAAAGAGAAAGAAAGAAAAAGAAAGAAAGAAAGAGAAAGAAAGAAAGAAAGACAGAAGAAAGAAAGAAAGAAAGAAGGAAAGAAAGAAGGAAAGAAAGAAAGAAAGAAAGAAAGAAAGAAAGAAAGAAAGAAAGAACCAGCCTAAAACTAAGGAGAAATTTCCTGACAGAACAATTAACCAGTGGAACAACTTGCCTCCAGAAGTTGCATATGCTCCAACACTGGAAGTTTTTAAGAAGAGATTGGATAACCATTTGTCTGAAGTGCTGTAGGGTTTCCTGTTCCAGCAGGGGGTTGGACTAGAGGACCTCCAAGGTCCCTTCAACACTATTATTTTGTTATTATGTTATCTGGAAATAGCTACTTTGGAACTTAAAAGCCCTGGCTGATTATTTTAATTTAAAACATGGCCTTCAACCATTATTTCTTTTCTGTGTTTTTTTGCCCTTCAGTCTTCTTCATTATTCATGCATGGGGGCTGATTGGGAGCCAAAAGTTTATCTGAAATATAGGTAGTCCTTGGCTTATGACCACAACGGAGCCTCCAATCTTCGTTGCTAAGCAAGACAGTTGTTAAGGGAGTCATGTCCTGTTTTACGACCTTTCATGCCAAATACGTTAAGCAAATAAGCGCAGTTGTTACATCAATCATGCAGCTGTTAAGTGAATTTTGCCTGATTTTTATGACCTTTCCTGCCACGGTTGTTAAGTGAATCACTGCAGTTAGCAACATGGTTGTTAAGTGAATCTGCCTTCCCCCTGGCCTTTGCTTGTCAAGGGTCGCAAAACGGGATCACGTGTCCCCCTCGGGACACTGCAACTGTCAGAAGTACATGCCAGTTTCCAAGCATTTGTATTTTGATCACGTGACCATGGGGAATGCTGCAATGGTCGTTAAGTGTGAAAAACGGCCGCAAGTCACTTTTTTCAGTGTCCTTGTTACTTTGAACGGTCAGTAAATGAATGGTTGCAAGTTGAGGACTATCCGTATAATAAATAATGCTACAGGGCCCTGATGGCAAACCTATGGCACGCGTGCCACAGGTGGCATGCAGAGCAAAATCGGAGGGCACGCGAGCTCAGCTCCAGTGCGCCAGCTAATTTTCGGGCCTTCTGGGCCCACCAGAAGTAGGGAAACAGCCTGTTTCCTGCCTCCGGATGGCCTCGGAGTGGGTGGGGGGAGGCCCGTTCTTTGCTCTCCCCAGGCTCCAGAGCCTCTCCAGGAGGCCGGAAACGGCCCATTTGTCAACTTCCGGTGGGACCAGTAGGCCCATTTTTTGTTCTCCTCATTCTCCAGAGCCTCTCTAGGAACCTGGGGAGGGCGAAAACGGCCTTCCTCACCCAGCAGAGGCCCTCCAGAGGCCGCAAACGGACCATTTTCAGCCTCCCCGGGCTCCTAGAGAGGCTCTGGAGCCTGGGGAGAGCAAAAAAAGGGCCTACCGGGCCCACCATGCCATCATGTGCCAAATGTGGGGGGAGCGCGGGGGGGGGTCGCACGCGCATGCACGGGGGGTGGGGCGCATATAATAATGGGTGTGGGCACGCACGTGCGCGACCCCCCCTCGCTTCCCCCCGCTTTTGTCACGCGATGGCAAAAAGGTTAGCCATCACTGCTACAGAGTGACCAACAATCATGGCAAATAACGCCCATTTCAGAGGTCCCACGTTTTCTCCCCCTCTAAATCCATTTTCCTTTTGTCTGTTATCCTGTTTGTAATTGAGGTAGTCCTCCACTTACGACCACAATGGAGCCCAAAGTTTATGTTGCTAAGTGAAACATTTGTGAGGTGACTTTTTTTACAACCCATTTTACAACCTTTCTTTCCACCGTTGTTAAGTGGGTCTCTGCAGTAATTAAGTTAGCAACACGGTCGTTAAGTGAATCCGGCTTCCCCATTGACTTTGCTTGTCAGAAGGTCGCAAAAGGGGATCACGTGCCCCCCCCCAGGACGCTGCAACTGTCATAAATACGAGTCACTTGCCAAGCGTCCGAATTTTGATCACGTGACCACGGGGAAGCTGCAATGGTCGTAAGTGTGAAAAATGGCCATAAGTCACATATTTTTAGTGCCGTTGTAACTTTGAGCGGTCACTAAATGTTGCAAGTTGAGATTAGCTGTAGAAGAAAACAGTGTGAATAAGCACAGAGTAAATTTCACCTCAGTTTCTTGATCATTTTTCCTCCTAAAAGAGGATGATTTTGCACCATTAGATTAGGGTTCAGCCAGGTAATCCTCAACTTACGACCACAATTGACCCCAACGTTTCTGTTGTTAAGTGAGACAGTTAAAGGGGTTTTACAACCCGTCTTGCCACACCTGCAGTTGTTAAGTTAGCAACACGGTTGTTAAGTGAATCTGGCTTGTTGATTTTGCTTTTCAGAAGGTCGCAAAAGGGGACTCTGGGACCGTCATAAATACGAGTCAGTTTCCAAGCGCCTGAAATTTTCATCACGTGACCAACGGGGATGCGGGAGTTGTAAGTGTGAAAATCGGTCCTAAGTCGCTTTTATACAGTGCCGTTGCAGTAACTTTGAATGGTCATTAAATGAACTGTTGCAAGAAGGTCACAAAAGGGCATCACAGACCTCCAGGATACTGCGACCGTCATAAATACGAGTCGGTTGCCAAGCGTCTGACCCTGGGGATGCTGCAACGGCCCTAAGTGTGAAAAAGGGTCCGACGTCACTTTTTTCAGTGCCGTGGTAACTTTGAACGGGTCACTAAATAAACTGGTAAATCGAGGACTACTACCTGTATTCCGGCCATATCGGTGGGCACGCGAGTGTTGTCCTAGCTCAACTCCAGCGCGCATGCGTGCACCAGGCAACTGATTTTCAGGCCTTCTGGTCCCACCGGAAGGGGGACTGTTTCCGGCCTCTGGAGGGCCTCCGGGGGGATGGGGAAGGCTATTTTTGCCCTCCCCAGGCTCCTAGAAAGGCTCTGGAGCCTGGGGAAGGCGAAAAACGGGCCTACCGGGCCATCGCGTGCCAAAAGCAGGGAGGAGCGGGGGGGGGTGTCACATGTGCATGCACAGGAGGGCGGGGCGCATTGAATCATGGATGTGGGCACACGTACCCGCAACCTCCCCCCTCTCCCGCTGCTTTTGGCACGCGACGGCAAAAAGGTTAGCCATCACTGCTAATGTATCAGACCCATTTTATCTGACCTCACTAAAAGTTTCTTTCAAGCCACACCACTTGCAGGTATTTCTCGATTTATGTCCATTCATTTAAGAACCATTCGAACTTACGATGGCACTGAGAAAAAGTGATTTATGACCAGTCCTCACACTTATGACCAAATAAAAAAAAATTGGCATGTATGTAGGACGGTTGCGGCATCCCATGTGATTTCCATTTGCAACCTTCCCCGCGAGCTTCTGACAAGCCAGGTCAACGGGGGGGGGAGTCAAATTCACTTAACAACTGTGTGATTCACTTAACAACTGCAGTGATTTTTGCTTAACAAAAATGGCAAAAACAACAATAATTGGTGATTCACTTAACAACTCTTGTAGTACCAAGAGCCTTGGTACTACAGTGGTTTAAAGCACCCTGTTATTAACACAGCTGCCTGCAATTTACTGCTGGTTCGAATCTCTCCAAGGCTCAAGGTTGACTCAGCCTTCCATCCTTTCTAAGGTAGGTTAAATGAGGACCCAGTTTGTGGGGGCAATAAGCTGACTTTGTATAAATATACAAAAGTATGAAGGCTATTGCTTAACGCACTGTAAGCCGCCCTGAGTCTCCGGAGAAGGGCGGCATATAAATCAAATTTAAAAAAAAAAACAAAAAAAAAAACTGCCCTGCTTAGCCACGGAAATTCTGGTCCCAATTGCAATCATTGATCGAGAACTACCTGTATCTCTTTTTTTTTTTCCCAATTTAGAAATTTAATATTTTTTTTTCCTTTTCGCAGGTGGTACTTTTCTGAGAACGCAATTCCGCAGAGGCTATCGCACAACGTGGTGTTAAAAAGAGCTCTTCCAGGCAGTGTTTGTGTGTTTGCACATGTGTGTATGTGGCGGGTGGGGTATCTTTTTCTAACACTTACTTACAAGAGTTAACGCAATTTCTTCTTAATCATTAAACTCAAAATAGGGGAAGCACCAAAGGTTGATTTCTCGGGTGAGAGTATATCTTATATATATTCTTATATTTCTTCTCTCCGGGAAAGACAGTTTGCACCAAAGAAAAGGAAAACACAAGTTTCAAGAAAAAATGATTTAAGTTAGAGGATTTAGGAAAAGGCCCCAAAGATATTTTTCTTACAGAGTCTTTTTTTAAAGCAAGCTTGTTCTGTTGTCAGGTGGAAAAAAAAAATGAAGTTTTCGTTGCTTTTTGGGGAAATAGCAGCTTCTGTTGATTTTTTTTCCTTTTCTTTTCTTTGAAAGGAGCAATTAAAACTTTTGCATTTTACAGCCGTGTTATGGCAGGGAACAAAATGCATTTGAACCCAAAATTGTTTTGTTTTTTTTTAAAGTGCTTTTTTAAAAGCTCTGAGGGCCACTGAATTTTGTCTTCCACAGAGATATTTCTGATCTATGCATAGTGTTTCTCAAACTTGACAGCTGGACGATGGGTGGACTTCCACTCCCAGAATTCCCCAACCGACTTGGCTGGCTGAGGAATTCTGGGAGTTGAAGTTCATCCATCTTAAAGCATGCTGGCTGGGGAATTCTGGGAGTGGAAGTTCATCCATTTTAAAGCATGCTGGCTGGGGGATTCTGGGGGTGGAAGTTCATCCATTTTAAAGCATGCTGGCTGGGGAATTCTGGGAGTGGAAGTCCACCCATCGTCCAGCTGCCAAGCCTGAGAACTGTTACCCAAGGAAACGTCCAGAGGTTTGAGAGTGATGTGTTAGGCCCATATGCTATTCATCAGAGGTGCAATCTGGTTGTATTACAATTCCGGCCATCCCCAGCCGAAATAAGTTGAAAGTAAATCTCCCTCACCACCACCTCGTATTTACAGCTCAAAAAACTAGGGAAGGTCTCTGCAAAGATGTTTTCCCCCACCATCCTTATTGCTGCTATGGGTTTAGCAATCTCTTTCTGACGGTTGCCTCAATTGCAAACTCTTCTTCCTATCTCCCAAGATCAGTTCCGCATCCCATTATCCTGAGCGTGCCCTATGCATCCCTCGGCCATTGGTTCTTCAACCACCCTAGGTTTGAAACCAGCAGACATCAAACAAACTAGGATTAATAGTGTAAGAAGTAATCGCACACCCTCCTAAAAGATTGAAATACTTTGGGGAATATTAAAAGAGGCCAAATATTATATTTCCCGAAAGGAGAAATGGAGAAACGTGTTTTTAAAGGCAGAAAGCAGCCTCAACATCCTCCAGCAGATGCCTGAAGTCTAGAGAGGGATATTTTGTGCCTATTAAAAAAGACTGGGCCAATCTATTCACAAACAAAACACCTTCTGCTCCAAATGATGAGATTAAGAATTTATATCCCCCCCCACCCAAATTCTAAGGACAGGACAGGCTCTTTAGAATATAATAGGATTAACCCACCACCATTAGAATAGTAAAAACACACCAATCTCACTACAATCCCCTGCAGCATTTCAGAAATGAAGAAAAATCCTTGCATTCATCAAGTTAATTTGTCAGCTGTCCCAGAACTGCATTCTGTGCTTCTGAGTCCAATAAATGGAATCCTCCTTTCCAATCGGCTTCAATTTTATTTCCAGCATTTTTCTTCTCGGTTTAGAACTGGACCGGATTTTTTCCCCTATAATAGTAAGCAGCTGGACGGTTCAAACGAACACAGGAACTTACGTTTGATGGACAAGAAGAGAAAATTTTCCCAATGCTGGAAGCTTGAGAGATAAAACCTGAAGGCTGGCCTAATCCTGGTTAGATTATGTTCAGTGTATAAGGAGCATTCTTGAGGTCCTAGATAACATCCTCAGAACTTTTTTGGACCAAACCAGAGCTATTTGGCACAAGCCAAATAAATCCTAAATTAATTACCCCACCTGCTGCATGGGTTCATCTCTTTAAATTAAAGGGCACCTCCCCCCCAAAATGGCCACTGGTATCTGCAGGGCAGTCAAAAAAATTTAAAATGGCGCCCCCCCAAACTTGTTGTCGAAGTTCCATCCCACATAAACAAGGATGAAATTTCTACTGGTATGACATGGCTGGGGCTCCCTCTTGACTTTTTTGACCTCCCTGGGGTCCACATTTGTTTCCTAACTTTTTCTAACCTCCTTTTCTTGATTCTTTTAAAGGCATACATTTAAAAAACAATGTAAAAAATTACTATTAAAAGATTTTTATCTGGAAATATTACATGGAGTACGTCAGGTTATCTACAACAGGTGGCCGCGTGGTAGAAATAAACTTTCTGAACCCCAAAAATCAGTCTTTTGCATGTTGAGACGCTGGATTTGGTCAGCTTGGCTTTGCGAGAATGAGCAAGATGGCCAACATCCCACAATGTTTGGCTGAGATGGGCGCCCCCTGGTGGAAGCTCTGGGTATGACTCCCACTGGCGCCCTCTGCTGGATGAAATAGGTTCCTGAGCATCTCGCTCTCGTTTCTTTGCCTTGGGTTCAAGGGAGTCCATTCTAGTCTCTTCCCCAGCCTCTAATTGTCCACCGTGAATATCCGTATCAATATTCCCACCGCTAGAATTCCCACGGCGCCGGCCACCGCGAGTCCCCGTCTCACGATCAGTTGCTTGGTCGTCAGAACTCGGCCCCTCCTGGGGACACTGACCGCCTTTTTGTCCGGCAAGGTTGGGCCATTTATGACGGTGAAGCTCAGAAGCACAACGCCGTTCTGGGCATCCGTGTGTCCTGGAACAGAAAAGGACAAGCGGGACTCGAACTCGGCTCCAGACAGTAATCGACTTACGACCACAATTCCCTCTACCTTAAAATGAATCATTTTTTTTCAGGCGCTAATCCAATTAAAGCCCGTCTGTTTGGCTTTAAACGCAAACCTAATTCTTAATTACTTCTTAATTCTGACACTAAACGAATGGTTGTAAGTCAAGGACTGCCTGTATCGGCAAAGCCAGTCCCGGCACGGCTACAAGGTTCTTGCTCCTTCGCTCACCTCCAAACCCTGCTTTGCATTCTATATCGGAAGAGGAAACTGCTTTGCCCGGGATGGGAGCCGAGTTCAAATCCTCCACTGGCTTCTGCGACAGTTTGGCACGGCGCTGGGCCTAAAGGGAAGAGCCGGACAGTAGAGATTTTATTAAATATATTTATTAATATATATATATTAATATATAGAAAGATATAAATATATAAAGAAAAGAAAAGAAATATATATATATGTTTTCTGAGGTTTTTGCGGGTATTTGTATGTAGGTCTTTGGTTATTCAGGTTTTCTCCCGCATAAAATTGGAAGTGTCTTGGCGACGTTTCGATGAAGTCTCATTCGTCATCTTCAGGCTGGTGTTTTCGGCTTCGTGCACATTGCTCCTAGAAGCACGAAGCCGAAAACACCAGCCTGAAGATGACGAATGAGACTTCGTCGAAATGTCGCCAAGACACTTTCCAATTTTACACGGGAGAAAACCCGAATAACCAAAGATCTACATATACATACATACATATATACATATACATATACATATACACATACATACATACATACATACATACATACATACATACATACATACATACATACATATATATATATATATATATATATATATATATATATATTTCGCTGATAAAGAAATTTCGCTGATAAAGAAATAAAGGGAGACTAGTATAGATCTGTTTCAAGCTATTTAGCTCTCATCAGCTAGCCATACCCTTACTTGGATTCGAACTTGGGCTGCCTGCATGTTAGGCAATTTGGTATAAAATGGTTTGTCGTGAATGCGACTGCTTGAGGGCTCCTGGATTGCAGCTGAAAGGCGAAAGGGATGCAGTATGCTCCCTCCCACATGCTGGCCTAGACCAGGTGCCTCGATAGAAAAACACAATATATATATATATCTCCACCCAACATACACACAATGACTCTAGGCCCGTGATGGTGAACTTATGGCACGCGTGCCCAAACTGGCACGCGAAGTCATGTCGCCCAGGCATGCGTGGCCTTGCCTGTTTGTCTTCCGGGTTTCTGGCATGCATGCGTGTGCAACGATCAGCTGTCCTTCACTTGCGCGGCAATGCCGAAAACTGGTGCGCACATGCGCCCCGGCCAGCTGATCGTCGGGTGCGCATGCGTGCTACAACCCGGAAGTTCGGCTTTTCCGGAGCGCGGCCCCAACGAGCGCCCGCATGCCGAAAAGGTTCGCCATCACTGCTCTAGGCAGTTTAAAATGAGGATGATATTAGAGGTTTTATGTAATTATTTAGCGTATAAGGCAGTGATGGCTAACCTTTTTGCCGTCATGTGCCAAAAGCGGGGGGAGGGGGGGGCGGGCCACGCGCGCGTGTGCCCATACCTATAATTCAATGCGCCCCATCCCCACACACATGCGCTCCCCCTGCTTTAGGCACGTGATGGCACGGTGGGCCCAGTAGGCCCGATTTTCGGCCTGAGCCCAGAAGCTTTCTTGGAGCCTGGGGAGGGCTAAAATAGCCTTCCCCACCCATTCCGGAGGCCGGAAACAGCCTGTTTCCCGATTTCTGGTGGGGCCGGAAGGCCTGAAAATCAGCTGGCCAGTGCGCACATGCGTGCTGGAGCTGAGCTAGGGCAACCCTCGCGTGCCCACTGATATGGCTCCGCGTGCCACCTGTAACACGCGTGCCATAGGTTCACCATCACGGGTATAAGGCATGAAGTACGTGGGTATCAGTAATAATATATATAATATATAAAAGGAGCATATATAAGTATGACACGTTTATGATGGAAGTATGTAGTCAATTTCATAATATGAGGAATTCAAGAAGTTATCGGTTGTAGGTTACATTTTGAAATGTGCCACTTCATGCGAATCTGTTCTATATACAGGTAGTCCTTGACTCATTTAGTGACCAAAGTTACAATGGCACCGAAAAAAAGTGACTTAGGACCATTTTTCACACTTATGACCTTTGCAACATCCCCGTGTTTACGTGATCAAAATTCAGACACTTGGCCATTGACTCGTATTTATGACGGTTGGAATGTCCCGGGGTCACGCGATCCCCTTTTGCGACTTCAGCAAAGTCAATGGGGAGGCCGGATTCACTTAACAACCGTGTGAGTAACAATTGCCGTGATTCGCTTAACAACTAGGGCTAGAAAGATCGTAAGATGGGGCAAAACTCACTTAACAAATTTCTTGCTTAGCAACATAAATTTTGGGCTCAATTGTGGTCATAAGTCGAGGACTACCTATATGAATATTCTATCTAGGCCCGTGATGGCGAACTTATGGCACACGTGCCACAGCTGGCACACGGAGCCATATATGTGGGCACGCGAGCATTGCCCTAGCTCAGTTCCAGTGTACATGCATGAACCAGTCAGCTGATTTTCGGGCCTTCCGAGCCCACCGGAAGTCGGGAAATGGGCCATTTCTGGCCTCTGGAGGGCCTCCATGGAGGTGGGGAAGGCTGTTTTCGCCCTCCCCAGGCTCCTAGAAAATCTCTGGAGCCTGGGGAGGGCGAAAAACGGGTCTTCTGGGCCCACTGGTAAACTTTTTGCCGTCGCATGCCAAAAGCGGGAGAACGCAGGGGGGTGGATTTGAATTATCGGTGTGGGCACGAGCGCGCACGACCCCCCACGCTCCCCACGTTTTGGCACGCAACGGCAAAAAGGTTAGCCATCACTGATCTAGGCCATTTATGAGATTAGAGACGATAAAATTACAGATTAGAGGTGATGTTATAATTATTACATCCTGCTTTCTTTTTGAACAATTCAAGGGGGTGCACATAATGTTCCCTCTTATTTTTCCCCACAACAACAACCCTGTGAGGTAGGCTGAGCTGACAGGCACCCTGACAGTTTCCCTGCCTAATGGAGAACTAGAATTCCCAGCCACCCGGTTTCTGGTCCAATATCTTCACCGTTACGCCGAACCAGCTCCCGTACTACGGCAACGAATTATAGATGATTTATTTACTAATCAAATTTATATCTCGCTCTCCAAGTGACTAAGTTTACAAGTTAAAAAAAGGATAAAATTCACGTAAAAATCCGTACAGAAATCATGTTAAAAGGTAACTGATTTAACATCTCTTTCTAGATCCTGTCGGTTAAAATTTGTTAGACAACACGGGTCCGTCATGTGCCCTTGTTTTCTGCCTGACGTGTGTGTGTGTGAGTGTGTGTGAGAGAGATAGAGACAGGTCAGTGTAATTTATTGTGTGTTTGCACGCAGTAAAAACATGCAGAGGTATTTGTAACTGTGTGAATACCGAAATGCTAAATGCAAATGAAAATTCACGGCAATGCAAATTGTGAATGTGCCATTGTGTTAGCTGGCGTGAGTTTGATACTGTTTTGACACAGTACTGTTGTGCAATTGTGCGTAGTCTTAGTGCGGAGCAAATCTGACGTTCTTAGGATAGCAAGCCAACTGCAAAAGCCTTCACTAAGAACTCCTTTTTTCCTTGAAGAGTGTGAAATGAAGAGAGGCAGTTTTGTCTAATGGTTAAGGCACCATACTAAAAAGTGGGAGATATGGTGAATTCTAGTCTCCTGCCTTTGCACGAAAACTGGCTGGGTGAGTTTGGGCCAATCATCAGGAGAAGTGAGTTCTAGTACCGGCCGAGGCATAAAAGCTAACTGGGTGACTATGGACCAGTCACCAGGAGGCTGTGAGTTCTAGTCCCGCCTTCGACATAAAGCCAGCTGGGTGACTTTGGGCCAATCATCAGGAGAAATTAGTTCTAGTGTCGCCCTAGGCATAAAAGCTAACTGGGTGACTATGGACCAGTCACCAGGAGACTGTGAGTTCTAGTCCCACCTTCGACATAAAGCCAGCTGGATGACTTTGGGCCAATCATCAGGAGAAGTGAGTTCTAGTATCGCCTGAGGCATAAAAGCTAACTGGGTGACTATGGACCAGTCACCAGGAGACTGTGAGTTCTAGTCCCACCTTCGACATAAAGCCAGCTGGGTGAGTTTGGGCCAATCATCAGGAGAAGTGAGTTCTAGTGTTGCCCTAGGCATAAAAGCTAACTGGGTGACTATGGACCAGTCACCAGGAGGCTGTGAGTTCTAGTCCCGCCTTCGACAATCATCAGGAGAAGTGAGTTCTAGTATCGCCCTAGGCATAAAAGCTGACTGGGTGACTATGGACCAGTCACCAGGAGACCGTGAGTTCTAGTCCCGCCTTCGACAATCACCAGGAGATGGTGAGTTCTAGTATTGCCCTAGGCATAAAAGCTAGTTGGGTGACTCTGGGCCAATCACCACGAGACTTGAGTCCAAGTCCCACTTTAGGCCTAAAAGCCGGTTGGGTGACTTTGGGGCCATCACCAGGCGACTGTGAGTTCTAGTTTTGGCTTAGCCATAAAAGCCAGCTAGTGAGCTAGGTGACTTTGGGACAGTCCCCCCCCCCAGCCAAACCACCTCACAGGGCTGTTGTGGGGAAATAGGAGGAGGAAGATGTAAATATATTCATCACCTTGAGTTATTTGTAAAAATAACAAAGGAAGGACACAAATTAAATAAATAAATCACACAGTAAGTTCTATATAAAGGTAGTCCTCGTTTTACGACTGGTCACTTAATGACTGTTTATAGTTACAACACACCTTCCCTAGAGGCTGCTTAGGATTGATTCCAAATTCTGATAGCTTAAATTCCACCCCTGGGATCATATGATTACATGTCGGCAGCTCAGCAACTGCCCTGCAGTTACAGCCTTTTGCAGCCTCACGTTAATCATGATTTGGCCGGAAACCAAGGTTTGCATCCAGTTTCCAGCAATAAAAAATAAAGGATGTTGCAGGCAATGGATTCACTTAACAACTACGATGTTTGCTTAATGACCACAGCTTTTGCTTTACAACCGTGGCGTTCACTTAACAACCAGTGTTAAAAAAAAAAAACGGTCACAAAAATGGACATGGTGACTTGTTTAATGACCGGCGTGAGTATGAGTCTGGGCTTGACAAATGGTCGTAAACAGAGGACTCCCTGTAAGACGAGCAGTGCAAAAGAGCGAGAATGACCAGAATGGGAAGAAAAAAAGGGAAATAGGGATCGTCATGCAGGAGGAGTGTTGCCTAATGGTTGGAGCATGGTTGAAGGATGCCTCTTACCTCTTCAGCCACCTGGTCCCAATTCATCCGGAGTATGTACGTGATGGAACAGATGCAGGGGATCAGGGTGCAAATCAGCATGCCCAGCCAAAACCCTAGGAAGAAAGACCAAGCTGAAAAACCACAACGTCCTCAACTTATGACCATTCACTTAGCGGCCGTTCGAAGTTTACAACGGCGCTGAGAAAACGGATTTAAAAATGCTTCTCGCGTTTATGATGCTTACAGCATCCTGAGGTCACGTGATTGCCATTTGCGACTTTCCCAGACGAGCTCACTTAATGACCATCACGATCTTGGACACAGGTAGTCGTCCTTGACTTACAACCGTTTGCTTACTGACCGAAGTGACGACGGCACCGAAAAAAGTGACTTAGGGACAGTTTTTGGCCTGTTGTGACATCCTCGTGGTCAGGTGATCAAAATTCAGACTCTTGGCAACTGACTCATATTTATGACGGGTTGCAGCGTCCCGGAGTCATGTGATCGATCCCCTTTTGCGACCTTCCGACAAGCAAAGTCAATGGGGGAAGCCCGATTCACTTAACAACCGTGCTACTAACTTAACAACTGCAGCAATTCACTTAACAACGGGGGCAAGAAAGGTCGCAAAATGGGGCAAAATTCACTTAACAAATTTCTCACTTAGCAACAGGAATTCTGGGCTCCATTGGGGTTGTAAGTCGAGGACTACCTGTAGTGGCTCACACCGACACTGATAATGTCGTTGGTGTTGAGTACCAAACAATGAATACCAGGACAAAAATTTGGCATCAAAATGCGTTGAATACCGAATTTGTTGAGTTTCAAAGCAGTTGAGTAGCCAGCAGTTGAGTTACATATAGGTAGTCCTTGACTTACAACTGATTGCTTGGCGCTCGTTCAAAGTCGCTAAGTGGAAATGAAGAATGGCCTTGCGTTCTGAAGACATTTCGCTTCTCATCCAAGAAGCTTCTTCCGCTCTGGTGGGGAACGGAAGGATTTATGTTCCTTGCAGATAGCTGGTCATTTCCATCCTTTTAGAGCAGGGATGGCTAACCTTTTTGCCGTCGTGTGCCAAAAGCGGGGGTAGTGGAGGGGGGATTGTGCGCGCACGTGCCCACACCCATAATTCAATGCGCCCCGTCCCCCCACGCATGAGCATGTGACCCCCCCCACTCTCCCCCCTGCTTTTGGCACGTGATGGCACTGTGGGCCCGGTGAGCCCATTTTTTTGCCGTCCCCAGGGACTGCAGCCTGGGGACGGCAAACACAGCCTTCCCCATTCCCCCGGAGGCCCTCCGGAAGCCCAGAAACAGCCCATTTCCTGACTTCTGGTGAGCCCGGTAGGCCCATTTTTTTGCCGTCCCCAGGGACCAGAGCCTGGGGAGGGCTAAAACAGCCTTCCCCATTCCTCTGGAGGCCCTCCGGAAGCCCAGAAACAGCCCATTTCCCAACTTCCGGTGGGCCCGGTAGGCCCATTTTTTTGCCGTCCCCAGGGACCGGAGCCTGGGGAGGGCGAAAACAGCCTTCCCCATTCTCCTGGAGGTCCTCCGGAAGCCCAGAAACAGCCCATTTCTCGACTTCTGGTGGGCCCGGTAGGCCCATTTTTTTGCCGTCCCCAGGGACCGGAGCCTGGGGAGGGCTAAAACAGCCTTCCCCATTCCCCCGGAGGCCCTCCGGAAGCCCAGAAACAGCCCATTTCCTGACTTCCGGTGGGCCCAGTAGGCCCATTTTTTTGCCGTCCCCAGGGACCGGAGCCTGGGGAGGGCGAAAACAGCCTTCCCCATTCCCCCGGAGGCCCTCCGGAAGCCCAGAAACAGCCCATTTCCTGACTTCCGGTGGGCCCAGTAGGCCCATTTTTTTGCCGTCCCCAGGAACCGGAGCCTGGTGAGGACTAAAACAGCCTTCCCCATTCCTCCGGAGGCCCTCCAGAAGCCCAGAAACAGCCCATTTCCCGACTTCCGGTGGGCCCGGTAGGCCCATTTTTTGCCGTCCCCAGGGACCGGAGCCTGGGGAGGGCTAAAACAGCCTTCCCCATTCCTCCGGAGGCCCTTCGGAAGCCCAGAAACAGCCCATTTCCCGACTTCTGGTGGGCCCGGTAGGCCCATTTTTTTGCCGTCCCCAGGAACCGGAGCCTGGTGAGGACTAAAACAGCCTTCCCCATTCCCCCGGAGGCCCTCCAGAAGCCCAGAAACAGCCCATTTCCCGACTTCCGGTGGGCCAGGAAGGCCCGAAAATCAGCTGGCCAGCGCACACACATGCATGCTGGACTGAGGTAAGGCAACACTCGCGTGCCCACAGATATGGCCACCTGTGGCACCCGTGCCATAGGTTCGCCATCACGGTTTTAGAAAATCCTTGAGGCCACTTGGAGGTTGATCTGTGTCCTCAGGGTCACCTGAGTGGTGCAAATGGATGTGGAGCCTTCTTGGAACTGCTGAAAGGACCGTGTTGTAGAAGGCTCCACACCCATTTACATTACTCAGGTGACCCTGAGGACACAGATCAACCTCCGAAGTGGCCTCAACGACCCTCTAAAAAGGATGCAAATGACCAGCTGTCTGCAAGGAGTCTCAATCCTTCCATTCCCCACCATCCCGTTAGAACGGAAGAAGCTTCTTGGATGAGAAGATGTAAAGAGCCTGTAGCACAGTGGACTCAAGCACTGTTATTAACACCTGCTGCCTGCAATTACTGCGAGTTCAAATCTCACCAGGCTCAAGGTTGACTCAGCCTTCCATCCTTTTGAGGTAGGTAAAATGAGGACCCAGATTGTGGGGGCAATAAGCTGACTTTGTATAAATATACAAAAGGATGAAGGCTATTGCTTAACGCATTGTAAGCTGCCCTGACTCTCCGGAGAAGGGCAGGATATAAATTAAAGCAAAAAAAAAAAGTGAAACGTCCTCAAAAAAGAACAAAAAATGTGCAGTTGCCTCCTGAAAAAGGAGTCGTCACCTTTGGGACGACTTGAATCCTGGTTTTGAAGTTGTGATGTTGTCGTGTATGTCGTCCATCCATCCGTCCGTCCCCCACCCCCCCCAGTCACATTTCCATATTTTGGGCAACTGGTCCACCTTTGAAGAGTCCCATGATCACCTGACCAATGATTTGTGACATTTCCCCCTCAAAACCAGCATTTATTTCCGTTTTCCGACAGAAAGCTCCCCTTCGCAAACAGTGACTTTGCTTAACAGCCACTGTGGAAAAGATGGTAAAATCAAATCGGCCTGTTTTATGACCGTCACAACTCGCAACCCTAATTGTAGGGCTCAATTATGGTCGGAACTCGAGGACTACTTGTCACCATGCCATTCTCTGCTCAATGCTAGTACCTATCATGCCAATTTTGGCTACGAAAAGGAGCACGACCCCCAAGGGCAGGCCTACAGCGTAGTAGCCCAGCATGTTGAAAATGGCGCCTAATTTCTGCCTTCCGGTGCCACGCAGCACCCCGGCGGTTGTAGCCTGCAAGAGACGAAAAGAAGGATGGGTTACAAGAGGCCTTGTGAACCTCTGCAAATTGAAGGTGTGTGGACTTCAACTCCCAGAATTCCCACTGTGCTGGCTGGGGGATTCTGGGAGTTGAAGTCCATTCCTCTTAAAGCATGTTGACTGGGGGATTCTGGGAGCGGAAGTCCATTCCTCTTAAAGCATGCTGGCTGGGGGATTCTGGGAGTGGAAGTCCACCCCTCTTAAAGCATGATGGCTGGGGGATTCTGGGAATGGAAGTCCACCCCTCTTAAAGCATGATGGCTGAGGGATTCTGGGAGTGGAAGTCTACCCATCTTAAAGCATGATGGCTGGGGGATTCTGGGAATGGAAGTCCACCCCTCTTAAAGCATGCTGGCTGAGGGATTCTGGGAATGGAAGTCCACCCATCTTAAAGCATGATGGCTGAGGGATTCTGGGAGTGGAAGTCCACCCCTCTTAAAGCATGCTGGCTGGGGGATTCTGGGAGTGGAAGTCCACCCCTCTTAAAGCATGCTGTCTGGGGGATTCTGGGAGTGGAAGCCCACCCCTCTTAAAGCATGCTGGCTGGGGGATTCTGGGAGTGGAAGTCCACCCATCTTAAAGCATGCTGGCTGGGGGATTCTGGGAGTGGAAGGCCACCTCTCTTAAAGCACGCTGGCTGGGGGATTCTGGGAGTGGAAGCCCACCCCTCTTAAAGCACGCTGGCTGGGGGATTCTGGGAGTGGAAGTCCACCCCTCTTAAAGCACGCTGGCTGGGGGATTCTGGGAGTGGAAGGCCACCCCTCTTAAAGCACGCTGGCTGGGGGATTCTGGGAGCGGAAGTCCACTCCTCTTAAAGCATGCTGGCTGGGGGATTCTGGGAGTGGAAGTCCACCCATCTTAAAGGATGCTGGCTGGGGGATTCTGGGAGTGGAAGTACTCTCCTCTTAAAGCATTGCTGGCTGGGGGATTCTGGGAGTGGAAGTCCACCCCTCTTAAAGCACGCTGGCTGGGGGATTCTGGGAGTGGAAGTCCACTCCTCTTAAAGCATGCTGGCTGGGGGATTCTGGGAGTGGAAGTCCACCCATCTTAAAGGATGCTGGCTGGGGGATTCTGGGAGTGGAAGTACTCTCCTCTTAAAGCATGCTGAATGGGGAATTCTGGGAGTGGAAGTCCACCCATTCCACCCCACACCAGACTGCCTTTCCATACCCCATTAAGGCATGGTTTGGTCATGGGTGGTTTACTAAAGAAACCACAGGTGCCCGCCATAATCCTAAAACATTTGAGGTTGCCAGAGCTGAACCTTAAATTTAACCCTATTCAGGCCAGTGGAAAGAAGTGAGAAAGAAAAGGACTCACACAAAGGGCTTCAAACAGGTGGAAGGCTATGTAGACGGGCATCACATATGCCACGAGGTCAACCACTTCTCTGTTTTGGACAAAATAGATAAAAACCATCATCAGCACCGACCTCCTCTAAGTCAGGGGTGTCCAATCTTGGCAACTTGACCTGTGGATTTCATCACTGGAATTTTTCAATAAGAGACTAGACTGCCATCTGTCTGAATTGGTGTAGGGCCGGGGGGTTGGACTAGATGACCTACAAGGTCCCTTCCAACTCTGTTAATTTGTATCTAACACCTAGAATTCTGGGAATTGAAGTCCACAGATCTTAAAGTTGCAAAGACTGGATACGCCTGATTTTGTTGCCCTACTCTAAGCCACACACACACACACACACACACATATATATATTACAAACTATTCTAAAAATACGAGTTCCAAGTATATTTGTAAAGGAAGAAGCAGACATTCTGTGAACTCCGGAACTAAAATAATTAAAATTTTATTCTACTAAGCTTTCGTCAGCCATCTGCTGACTTCGTCAGAGTATTAAACTACCATTTTAGGCAGAGATCTCTGTAATGGTAGTTTAATACTCTTGACGATGTCAGCAGATGGCTGATGAAAGTTTAGTAGAATAACATTTTACTTATTTTAGTTCCGGAGCTCGCAGAATATCTGTTTCTTTGTTTATATCTATATCTATATCTATATCTATATCTATATCTATATCTATATCTATATCTATCTATTTATCTATCTATCTTTCTATCTCTCATTTATCTAACTATATTATATCTATCTATATCTTACAACAGTTCATTTAGTGACCATTCAAAGTTACAACAGCACTTTAAAAAGGGACTTATGACTATGTTTCACACTTATGACAGCCGTCGCCCGCGGTGACGGTCATGTAATCAAAATTCAGACCGTTGGCAACTGGTTCGTATTTATGACGGTATGCAGTGTCCCGGGGTGGTGGTGTCACGTGATCCCCTTTTGCGACCTTCCAAGAAGCATGTGGAAGTCGGATTCACTTAACAACTGTGTGACTAACTGAACAACTGCAGTGAATCACTTAACAACTGGGGCGAGAAAGGTGGGAAAACGGGGGGGGGGGGAAACCTCACTTAACTGTCTTGCTTAGCAAGAGAAATTTTGGGCTCCACTGTGATCGTAAATCAAGGATAAGTCAATAATGGAACAGTTAGTCCTCGATTTACGACAGGTTACGTAGCAACCATTTGAAGTTACATCAACCCTCCCCGTGTCATATGACTAGGTAACCCCCCCTGAATTTACACCTGTATGCTGTAAATAAAGCAGTTTTTTCGTTGCCATTGTAAGTCCGAACGGTCACTAAACAAATAGTGGTAAGTCGAGGATAACCTGTATATACAAGATACCCTCAGGGCCTGAGGGGTTCACTCCAGATTGTCACACTTACTTTTCACTGGTGAAAATGTACGCCAAGACATCTTTTGAGGCTATCAACACAACACACATCAGAAGGACGAATCCCACTGGAGGAAAAAAACAGGGAGAAAAGAATTGAAGCAATCCGAGATAAATTTGATTTACTTATTCAATTCATATCATAATCATAAGTTTATTTGTCAAGCATCTATAAGATAACAGGTAAAAGTACAAACATAATTAGAATTCATGAAAAGAGTAAGTAAAAAAGGAATATTAGGACAGGGACGGTAGCAGGGGTGAAATGCTCCCGGTTCGGACCGGATCGCCCGATCCGATAGCGATGATGGTGGGTGGTTCGGAGAACCGGTAGTAAAAATCCCTGCGCTCCCCCCCCCCCATGCCCAGCTGAGCTGAGCGATCATCAGAGGATGTTGTTTTTTTTTTACTTTTAAAAGCATTTTTTCTACAACCTCTTCGGCCGAAAAAATACTTTTAAAAGTTAAAAAAAAAAAAAAAGCTCTGATGATAGCGCTGCTCATCTGGGATCGTCAGAAGCTTTTAAAAGCATTTTTTTCCTGAAAAAAAAAAATGCCTTTAAAAGCCTCTGACGATCCCAGCTGAGTTGCCTGATCGTCAGAGGCTTCTAAAAGCATTTTTTTCTGCAACCTCTTAAGGTTGTAGAAAAAATGCTTTTAAAAGTAAAAAAAAAAAAAAAGTTGGCCACGCCCACCCAGTCACATTACCCTCCGCCACCACCAAGCCACGCCCACAGAACCGTTAATAACAAATTTTAGATTTCACCCCTGGATGGTAGGCATGCAGGTGCTTATGCATGCCCCTTACAGACCTCTTAGGAATGGGGTGAAGTCAACAGTAGACAGTTTAAGGTTAAAGTTTTGGGGGTTTGGGGAAGAAACTACATGCTACATGCTATATGCTGCCGATCATGCTACCCAGAGCATTAGAAAGAGAGATATTAAGAAATATTACAGCAAGATGAAATATTATACCAGGATGGGCCTCTATGACCCCTTTACGACCTGTGGACTTCAACACCCAGAATTCCTGAGACAGCCAACATGGTTGACTCTCTCGGGAATTCTGGGAGTTGAAGTCCACAGGTCGTAAAGGCTCCATAGAGGCCTACCGCTGTGTTATACTATGCTCCCTACTCAGAAAGGCCTACAAAAGTCAAGATGGTATCAACGATGATGGGACTGAAGCCCCATCACTTCTTCATGTTCAATGCCTGTAAATATAGTGTTGGGTTTTAGATGTTGGACGCCATCTTGACTTCTTTGACCATCCTGGACATTTCTGCCCTTTTTACTACCGGTTCTGGGGGTAGTGGCTTGGTGGGCGTGGCATAGCTTGGTGGGTGTGGCTTGGTGGGCACGGCAGGGGAAGGATACCGTAAAATCTCCATTCCCACCCTACTCCATGGGAAGGATACTGTAAAATCTCCATTACGTCCCCAATCCAGGGGAAGGATACTGCAAAATCTCCAATCCCAACTTATTCCAGGGGAAGGATACTGTAAAATCCACATTACGTCCCCAGTCCAGGGGAAGGATATTGCAAAATCCCCATTTCTTCCTGATCAGCTGGGACTTGGTAAGCAGAGAATAGATGGGGGCGGGGCCAGTCAGAATTTTTACTACTGGTTCTACGATAGTAAGAACTACTACCAAATTACTCAAAATTTCCGCTACCGGTTCTCCAGAACAGGTCAGAACCTGCTGAAACCCACCTCATATATATATATACCTATTAAGATAGATAATACCTATTATTAGGAGATTCCGCCGTGCCCTTAAAACTTTCCTTTTTCAGCAAGCCGGGCTGGTTTAACATATTTTTTAACATATTTTTAAATATTTTTAATTGGTTTGTTATCTTAAATTGGGGCCAAATTAATATATATCCTTTTAATTGTTTTTAATGTTTGTATTGTATGTTTTTATCTGGCTGTACACCGCCCTGAGTCCCTTGGGAGAAGGTGCGGTATATAAATTCAAATAAATATAAATAAAACAAATTATATATATATATATATATATATATATATATATATATATATATATATATATATATATATAAAACCCCCAAAAGTGTATCATATGATGGATATAGGTAGTCCTCAACTTACGACCACAGTTAAGCCTAAAATTTCTGTCGCTAAGCGAGATAGTTGTTCAGGGAGGTTTGCCCCATTTTCTGATCTTTTTTTTGCCATGGTTGTTAAGTGAATCACTTCAGTTGTCCGGTTAGTAACACGGTTGTGAAGTGAATCTGGCTTCCCCATTGACTTTCTTTGCCAGAAGGTCGCTAAATGACCCCGGGACGCTGCGACCGTCATAAATATGAGTCGGTTGCCAAGCATCTGAATTTGGATCACGTGGCCCACAGGGGTGCTGCAACGGTCATAAGTGCAAAACAACAGTCTTCAATCCTGTTTTTCAGTGCCGTTGTATCTTCCGTCACTGAACAAATGGTTGTAAGTTGAGGATTTCCTGTGTATACAATTTCTGCTCATCTTAAAGTCACCAAGGTTGAGAAATTGCAAAGAAGAGCAATTAAGAGGTCTGGAGACTAAAACGTACGAAGAACAGTTGCAGGATTTGGGTTTGCCCAGTCTAGACAGTCACTTATGCGCATGCGACTCCCCCGTGCTCCCCCGGCTTTTGGCACGGTGGGCCCAGTAGGTCTGTTTTTCGCCCTCCCCAGGCTCCAGAGGCTTTCTTGGGGGTGGGACCGGAAGTCAGGAAACATGCCGTTTCCGGCCTCCGGGATGGGGGATGGGGAAAGCCTTTGGAGCCTAGAAAGCCTCCGGAGCCTGGGGAGAGCAATAAACAGGCCTTCCGGTCCCACCGGAAGTTGGCAAACGGGCTATTTCCGGCCTCTGGGGGAGTGGGGAAGGCCATTTTCACCCTCCCCAGGCTCTTAGAGAGCCTCCGGAGCCTGGGGAGAGCAAAAAACAGGCCTTCTGGTCCCACCGGAAGTTGGCAAACGGGCTATTTCCGGCCTCTGGGGGAGTGGGGAAGGCCATTTTCACCCTCCTCAGGCTCCTAGAAAGCCTCCTGAGCCTGGGGAGAGTGAAAAACGGGCCTACGGAGGCCCTCCCACTGGAGCTGAGCTAGGGCAACGCTCATGTGCCCACCGATATGACTCTGATATGATATCTGAAATGGTGTAGATGTCAGCACGTCAAGATGCATTTATCCTAGTGCTGACATGAGAAGGAGAACGCAAGTGTCTGCAACGGGATGGTTGCCTTTCACCTACTTATTTTAGCTGGAGATAATGTCCCCTAGGAGATGGATGGGAGGGGGGAAATTCCTTTGAGCTGGAGCAGTAGATTAGGGGTGAATGATTGGGAAGATGGCCAATGAATGCAGGGGAGTGGGGGAAGGAAGAGGAGGGATTTTGGGGCAGCACGGCAGTGCTGGCTGCATGGAGTCAGTACACTGACTCCATGTTGCCGTGCTAAATAAAATGGAAGCTTGTTTCAAAAAAGACTTTGTTTGAGACGCAATTTATTTGAAGACGGCCTGAAAACCTGACAGTAGGTCTGTGATGGCGAATCTATAGCACGCGTGGCAAAAGTGGCACCTCTTCGGGCACACGAGCCATTGTTCCTTGCCCTTCCGGGTTCCGGTGTGCCGGCCAGTTGGTCACCGAAAAGATGATCTTCCGGTTTCCAGCGCACACATCCACACCGGCCACCTGGTCTTCCAGTTTCTTGTGCGCATGCGTGCGTGAGGAGCATGTGCATGATGGAAATCGGAAGATCATATTCCTGGCACATGCATGCGCACCAGATGGCTACTCTTCCTGTTTCCGGCATGCACATGAATTCTGAAACGCTGGTGTCAGCGCCTCAGCGCTGGCATAGAGAGGAGAGAGATAATTTCTGAACTTTTGCCTGCTAAATCCCTTTGAAGTCGGGTTGTCGTGGAAATGAGGAGGGGGGAGACATTCCTGGGAAATGACATGACAAGAAGTCTGGAGAACGACTTGGAAGATAGCCAATGAGAAGCAGAGAATTGGGGATTGGAAAGGGAGGGATTGGGGGGCAAAAGGTCAGTCTTGTCCGCGCGGAGTCATGATCCGGTGGCTGTGCTCAATTAAAGAAAATATTTCCTTAAAGATTGGCAGATTGGAAATTCATTTATTTTGAGATAGCATCGAAGTCTGACAGCTGGTTTATGTTTCCCATGGATTCTCTTCAGAGATGGGTTTCAGCAGGTTCTGACCAGTTCTGGAGAACCGCTTGCGGAAATTTTGAATAGTTCGGAGAACCGGTAGTAAAACTTCTGACTGGCCCCACCCCCATCTATTCTCTGCCTCCTGAGTCCCAGCTGATCGGGAGGAAATGGGGATTTCGCAGTATATCGTCCCCCGGAGTGGGGTGGGAATGGAGATTTTACAGTATCCTTCCCCTGCCATGCCCACCAAGCCATGCCACGCCCACCAAGCCACAAACACAGAACCGGTAGTAAACATTTTTCAAACCCACCGCTGATTCTCTTCTTTCTATCGGCCCCAGATTGATACCTGTGCAAAATATGGCGACTACAGAAGACCTGCGGGCTTCTTGCCCCTTCCCGGCTCCTAAGGCGTTGCCCACTCGGACGCTGGTGGAGGCCCCGATCCCAAAGGGAATCTAAAACGGACAAAAGGAAGAGAGAGATCTGGTGAGATGCCCATTCAGTTCCTGCCTTGGTAAAATCCTCAACCAGCTGGATTGATTGGTTGATTTTTTGATATACCCAGAGTGGGATGGAGCCCATTAAATGGCTTGGCCAAAACGGTGCTTTTTTCAAGAGGCAACTGGATTTTCTTGTTTTTTCTTTTGAAGACGTTTCTCTTCTCATCCAAGAAGCTTCTTCAGCTCTCACTGGATGGTGGGGGACAGAAGGATTGATACTCCTTGCAGACAAAGCTGGTCATTTGCATCCTTTTTAGAGGCTCGTTGAATGAATTATTTTATTAATTTGTTATTTTTTTAAAATTATTTTACTATTATTTAAAATATTTAAAATATTTTACTATTTTTATTTTTTATATGATGTTTTTATACCATGTAAAAACATCATATAAATGTAAGCTTCCTTGAGTTGCGACAATATAAATTTTCTAAAAGAATAATTATAAAAAAATACCCTATCGGTAGTCCTCGATTTACCACCATTCGTTTAGTGACTGTTTGACGTTCTACAAGGACCCTGAAAAAAGGGACGTACGATCGTTTTTTCACACTTACGACCACTGCAGCATCCCCGATGGTCACATCATCAAAACGCAGATGGATTGGCAACTGACTCGTATTTATGACGTCTGCAGTGTCCCAGGGTCACGTGATCCCCTTTTGATGGGGAAGCTGGATTCACTTAACAACCATTTTATTAATTTAATAACTGCAGTGATTCGCTTAACAGCTGTGGCAAGGCAGGTCGTAAAAAGGGGCAAAACTCACTGAACAACTGTCTTACTTCGCAATGCAAATTTCGGGTTCCTTTGTTGCCGTAAAGCGAGGACTTCCTGTATGGACGGCACAGATAGTTTAGCGACCATAATTGGTCATTCAGCAAAACATTGCTCAGCGGAACTGAGACTGTGCTTTTGATCCGACTTCCACTTTCTTTTGGTTTGTAGACCAGCGAACGTCATAAATGTGAGGACTGGTTGTAAAGTTGTTTTTTTTTTCATGCTTGTAGATGTGAACCTTCAATAAATGAGGCAGTTGTTTAAAGAGGACTATAGGTAGTCCTTGACTTGCGACCACATTGTGAACTTTGGTCGCTAAGTGATATGGTCATTAAGTGAGTTGAACCTGATTTTATGACCATTTTGGGCGGTCCTTAAGTAAATCCCTCTTTCATCCTTTGACTTTGCTTTTTGGAAGCCGGCTGGGACCCACAGGACATTGCAGCCGTCATAAATGAGTCAGTTGCCAAGCTTCTGAATTTTGATCCTGTGATCGTGGGGAAAATGCTGCAAATGGTCGTAAGTGTGAGGACTGGTCGTAAGTTCCTTTTTTCCACGCCCTCATAAATTATACAGGGTCTCTAAATAAACAATCATAAGTCAAACACCAACTATACCTGTATATCAGTTATAGCCAATGCAAATCATAGGATGCACACAAAATGCAGGGGAATTTACATTTTGGTTTGCTAATTTGAGGTGTCTGCCAAGGAAGGTCGAAAAAGTCAAAATGGCAGACGTCCTGTTTTTGTGGTGATATGGCAGACAGGAAATGCTTACCATATAAGCTACTGTGGCGATTTCATAGATGACAGATTGCGCAGATAGATCCAGCACACTCAGGAGGCCTGAAATTAAAAAAAATAATAACAGGAAAAGGGAAAAATAAATATTCAATGATGTCCTGAGGGAAGAGATCTAAAAAGGCAAGATGGCGGCTCAGCCGCCATCTTGGCTTTTTGGATCTCTTCCCTGAAGGCTCCTGCAAGGATTATGACAGGAAATCCCCAATGTACAACCACAATTGGAACCAGAATTCTGATGCTAAGCAGGAGGGTTGCTAAGTGAGTTGCACTCACTTTTACAACCGTGTGGTCATTAAGTGAGTCTGGCTTCCCTCATGGCTTGTTGGCAAGTGGAAATGACATCATGACCCTGGGATGCTGCAACCCTTGTAAATACAGGTAGTCCTCAACTTGCAACAGTTCATTTAGTGACCGTTTGAAGTTACAACGGCACTGAAAAAAAGTGACCTGATTATTTTTCACATCTGTGACTGTTGCGACATCCGATCACGGTCACGCGATCAAAATTCAGACGCTTGGCAAAGTGACTCCTATTTATGACGGTCGCAGCGTCCCGGGGGTCATGTGATCCTCTTTTGCGACCTACTGACAAGCAACAGGGAAGCCAGGTTCACTTAACAACCATGTGACTAATTGAAGAACTGCAGTGATTCACTTAACAACATGGGGCGAGAAAGGTAATAAAAAATGGGGCAATTTCTCACTTAACAGCCTAAATTTTGGGTTCGGTTGTGGTCATAAGTTGAGGACTACCTCTAGGGAAAAGGGCGTGTCCTGCCTTTTGGCCCCTCCCACACCCAGCCCTAGCTCCTCCCCCTGCCCACTCCTGACCTATCAGAAAGCTTCCAATTTCAAAAGTCCACCATTCAATGCAAATCATCAGCATGCTGGGAATCGCCAGCGACATGAAGAGACCCCATTCCTGCAGGCAGTCCGTGGACCAACCTGGAAAAAAAAAAGGAAAATCACCTGAACAAGCCAGGATTCATGGTTTGGAAGCAAAGATTACATAACAAGAGGATGGTGGATTTTGAGTCTGGCACAGGAATGTCTCTAAAATGACTACAGGATAGATTCAAAATGCCATTTTTTAAAAAAGCAGGACTAGAACTCACAGCTGCCTAGTGATTGGCCCAAAGTCACCCAGATAGCTTTCATGCCTAAGGCAGGAAGGACTAGAACTCACAATTTCCTGGTGATTGTCCCCAAGTCAACCAGCTTGTTTTCATGCCTAAGGCAGGACTAGAATTCGGAGTCTCCTGGTGATTGGGTCAAAGTCACTCAGGTACTGTCCTGCATTAGGCAAGACTAGAACTCACTGCCTCCTGTTGATTGGCTGAAAGTCACCCAGCTGGCTTTCATGCCTAAAGTGGGACTAGAACTCACCATCCCCTGGTGATTGGCCCAAACTTAGCCAGCTGGATTTAATGGCTAAGGTGGGACTAGAACTCACCATCTCCTGGTGATTGGCTCAAGTTACCT